GGGTTGGGCGGGAACTGAATAACAAACTTTATGAAGTGCAAAATATGGTCTGAGCAATCACACCTGACTGAAAAATAAAAGCGATCAGTCCCGGCCAGTGTTTCCAGTCTTTTCCCCGATTGAAAAGGAACAGATCTGTCAACAAATAATACTAAAAAGAGATAAATTATGACTATAAAAGTTAGTTGCATAACCATATAAATACACACATATTTACATGTCAAAAGAATATGAGAGACTTGAGCTTTGAAACTGGTTGTTAATAGCTTAATTTAGGCAAAACCTTTTTACTTTAATAAATCTCATACTTGACGATAGAAACCGGAATAACTAGCAATTGCTAAACCCCTCAACACTGATTACGAGTCTAAACTTGGGGGGAGTGTGTTTATCAGAGACATGGAATATGTGCATTTCGCCAAAGCATGACGCATCGCGTAAACAATTGTTGCACTATATAGCCCCGACGATCTGAGTGATCTTCTATTGCTCACCTTCGTCGCGATTCTGCTTGACCACGGCCCGTATCTGCAGCTCCATTATGCGGCGCAGGTACTGATCGATGTGACTCATCATCTCCATCGTGTACATTTCAGCCATTTGCGGGCTTTAGCGTTTGCGATCGTAATTACCACTTATCAGACAATGCTATGATATATGTATGTATATATGAGATATTTTTATGCGACGGACGAAGCGGTCTTAACGGATTTGCGACCAGGCCAATTAGCCTTGGTAGTGCACTGCCACTTGGCCACTTTCAAAAAGCAGGCCAGGCACCGAACGCGGCGATTTCAGCACTGAACGCTGATAAACGCGATCGTCTTATCAGTATATTTCAGCTTATCAATACTGAGAGAGGGAGCGCTTACCAGCAAGAGAATTTAAGCAAGAAATACACACTATTTTACAGGGTGATCCATCAGGTAACGTTTGGAATAATAAATTGAATCCATCCATATATTTTACTTATTTCTTGGTGCTTGTAAATAGCAAAATTTAAATGAAAAGAAAGTAAAACGAGTTTAATAATTGAAGAGGGAAATACCCTTTAAATAAAATCAGAAACATTATCCATATCAATATAATTTTGAGAGTCATTGCAATAGATCCTATATGGAAAACTTGCCATGAAAACACTCATTAATTGCCTCAATAAACAATAAAAAAGTAATATAAACAAAAGACTTTATGGCATACAAATTGTTATAGAGCGAATATTACAAACGGAAATATAACATTAAAATGGAATTATTACAAAGTGTAAGTTGTTATTCATTTTCAGTAATGACAGTAATGAATTTTGATCAAGAAGTAAATAATCAAAAGAATCTAATAATATTTCCGTATCAATTGCGCATGCAATTTTGTACATTAATTTCAAGATTTACGGGGAGTTTTTCAAATCTAAAGAGCGATAGCACACCGCGATTGATTTGACTGATTGGAATTGAATTCCCAATAATATCATTGTTTTATTCATCACACTTTTCGGCCATTTATAGACTTTCTTATCGTATAAAGCTTTATGGCAAGTCTAGATTAAAAAAACTGTTTTGGTTGTTAATCATACTCGTGGGAGAACATGTATACTCTTTCTTATCGTTTTCTATAAATCGGACAAAATGCTGGTCGGTATCTTTTTTGTCGTTTCCTCGCTACATAGACAAAGGGCAAACAATTTGGCCGATGATTTATAGGGTCGATCGCTGGCGACAGGTGTCCAAACAGTAAAAATTAAATTAAATAAACAAAAAATTGAGCCATGCGAAGCGAAGACAGCGACTGGGAAATAATGACAACAGAACGCGGCCCAAATTGCATAAATCAGGCAGGCGATCGCGCCCATTATATAATGCCCAATTGGGTTTCGGGTGCAGCAACCGCCTCCGAGTGGAATCGAGTTTATTTTGGACAACCAACTGGAACCGGAGCAGCGCTGCGCTACCACCGCCGTCATAAATAAAATTGTCAATGCTCAACTTGGAGCGAGTGCTCCAGATTCCGTTGGATTCCCCTGCAGTTGCTGCAGCTGCCGTTGGAATTAAAACATTTTGTGAATGATGGGCATTGGAGGTGGGATTGTGCAAGGCCCTGCCATGTCCGCCCAGCCACTTAATCAGTGCTCGTTAATTGGCAGACGGAAAACAAACTCTGTTCTGGAGCCTAAATGGGACAGAACAACAAGACGGATGGATGGGATGAGTATCCCAGGTGGAGACAACCACCGACAGGTAGAGCAAACAAACCAGCTAGCGAGCAAACAAACAGCAAAAGGTGTCAACGCCCACACCTGGGAACAGGAGTCATGGATGGAAACATGGAGCTGGTGCTACGAGCTAAGAACTGTCAGCGTGGGGCAGGAGCAGGAGCTGGAGCAGGAGCAGGAGCTGGAAAAGTTGCTGTCACTGCACTCAAATTAAATTACTCAACATGGCGACGAGTTGGGGGTTAAATTCCTGATGACAGGCACTGTGGTGCCACGGAAAGGGATTTCAGGTATTAAAATTCCAAAATATATACAAATATTCTGAAACTAGGTTAATTATAATGTTATTAAATATTTCGTTAGTCAGACTCAATTTAAATTATATCAATTTTAAACAAAGAGCCTGTTATAGGTCTGATTTATTTATTATACCCTTTCCATCTAGTACATATTGTGCATATTGCACCAATTTAAATGAATTTATTAGCTCAGCGTTATCAGTCAATTAAAATTAATAATTCTCTTGCATTGCAAACGGGTTCAAAACCCCCGCCAGCAACTTGAATTCCAGTCCAAACAGTTCTGAGGCCACAACAAAGTATGTATAAGTGGAGCAGCAGCAGCTCTTCCGGTTTCCCCCCAGTCGATTTGGAACCAATGTGGATGCCCCATGGAGGATGACTGCGATTGGGCCAGACACCTGTCATGGGGCATGCCGCCGCCGGGTGATTCGGCCCTTGTCAGATCTCTTTTCACGCCCCGCGGAGATGGCAACCACGAGCCGCCGAGCGTTAACCGATTTCCGTAGGAACCAGAACTTTAATTGGTAACCATGTGTCATGTTTATATACATATATTCAAGTAAAAATAATGCTTACTGGCAGCAAATGCACAATGGGTCTCTCTGTTTGTTTACTGTTTTCCCCTATTCACACTGATATCAATATCGGCGGGGCTTTGGCTTTGAATGTCATTTATATGGAAACCCTTGCTGACTTACTGCTTTATATTTACCAAAAGTGTTTCATTATGTACTCGCTTTTTATATTTATTTATGTTTAATTTTCGCTTATCGTGTGCGCAGTGGTCTATTGCGATTTCCACTTTCTGACTTTGGCATTGCTTTGCCTTTGCTTTCAGCTCAATTAAATATCACGGAATCATAAGCAGCGAACTTTCATAACTTGAATATACATTTTCTTATATAAAATTCAAATTTATTTGCATGTCAATTGTTTTTACCCGGAATAAGTTGGCATTAAACTTCATTTTTTTTGGTTTTAAGAAACAATTTGTGTTAATATGAAACGAAAACTACTTTTATCTAATCATTTTGAGAAATGCCAGGATTAAATAAATAATGCGAATTATTAGAAATGGTAATATCAAAACAAAGGCAAGTAAACAAATTTTGTTTTAATGACAACAATGTTTTAAAAATGCCACAAAAACAGAGATTAATTGTTCATTGATATATGTATGTATCTACAGATATAGATTTCTTAATTAAAAATGCCGTTCTTGCAAATAATTTCCATTCGACATCAATATTTTCCCGTTAAAAGCACATTAATTAAAACCTCCAATGGCAGGGTTTTGCAGCCACTGATCACCTAATGCCTGCCAAACTGCAAGTGGAAGGGAGTTTTGCAGCGGGTGGGTGGAAATGTCACAGAGTCGCTGAGCGTGTGTGTGTGCATGTGTTTGGGGTGTCGCATTGAGGAAAACGGAAGCCGGCGGCCCAAACATAAAAGTAAAGAGTAAAAACAAAACGCCGTCGCTTGGGACGGGGGATGCACTCATCTGCATCTGCAGTTGTTTTTGTTCATGCGTTGCTCAAAACAAAGGACGGATAAAGCGCGAAGGTGGAGGAGACGGAGGAGGAGGCACAAAGGGGAGAGCAAGAGAGAGAGCGAGGATTACTCACCGTTGAGGTCCTTGGTTAATTGCGAGCGCGTCGACATTTTGTCTTCCGAAATTCTCTGGTGAAAGTGGCGAAAATGAAGTCAAACAGGAATAACCAGGAAAAGGGCCAACGAATTTGGCTCAAAGCTTCCACCGCTCCCTCGCTGCCGCTGCTGCTCTCCTTGTTGTTGTTGTTTGCGGTGCTGCCGCTTCTGCTGCTGTTTTCAGTACTGTTGTTGTAGTGTGTACTGTTGTTGTTGGTGGTGGTAGTTGGATTTCAATCCTGATGACACGCCTTGCAGCCCGAAACTGGATTTTTGAGCTGCTCCCGCACTGAAAATCGCCGATCGGACATTCCGCTTCTTTTCGCCACTTCTTATTTTTTATCAACTTTTATTTTCCCTGTGGCCGAATTTTATTCACACCATTTTTGCACACACACGCACGATTTTCGTTTCGGTTTTTCACGCGTTTCCACCCTCGTCGCGGGGTCGGAAAACTCGGAAAAGTCGCACTCTCGCCGAGACGCCGCCGCACAGACAGCCGTTGGATTTTCCGCCAGCACTTTGCCTTTAGCCTTGCCTCCACTTTATTATTCGTTGATTTGCACCCGCGATCCACTTAGCATTTAACAATTCTGAGCCAGATCGGACAAATTCGCGAGCGCACTTTTAATTAATGACTAAAGTTAGTCCGGGCAAAATTTCACGAATCAACAACAAGAAACAGTGTGACCAATCATCGATAGGTTTTTAACGTTCCCTGTTAAGTCGCTGTTATGGCTCTGTTGTGGCTATGTTACGGACCTCGGTCTGGCAACGCCATTTACAGTCATCGAATATCTAAAGATAATCGATAGTGAGGCTTCATCAATAGTATCGATAGTAACATTTTTCACACCTCTTCCAGAAAAGAAGAAGCACACACAATAACAACGCAAAAAGTGGAAAACTCGAGAAAAAACAAGTCTATTGAACAAAAACAAGGAGAAATCAACTAACAATGGATGCTAAGCGCGAGAGAAAGTCGTCTTTGGTATGAAGATTGAAGCCCTGTTTATAGAAGAAAGAAGACCCTTATAGAAGTGCGATTTTCAGGCCCCTCTGTCACCGTGCCCCATTCCGGACATCACCGATGATGACTTGGTCAGCATCTCCGTGCGGGACCTCAACCGGACTCTCAAGATGCGCGGCCTGAACCGCGAGGAGATTGTGCGGATGAAGCAGCGGAGGCGCACGCTGAAAAACCGTGGCTATGCCGCTAGCTGCCGCATCAAGCGGATCGAGCAGAAGGACGAGCTGGAGACCAAGAAATCGTACGAGTGGACGGAGTTGGAGCAGATGCACGAGGACAACGAGCAGATCCGCCGCGAGGTGGGCAACTGGAAGAACAAGTACAAGGCCCTGCTACAGTTTGCCATCCAGAACGAGATCCCTATTCCGAGCGAGCTGGAGGGGAACTGATTCCATCTGATCCAACCTGTCACATTCCTTTTTCAGTCAAAAAAATAAAAAATAAACCTAAACCTAAAAACAAACTACTTTTAGTCGCCTATTTAGCTAGTTATTTCTTGTAAACATTAATTTGGATTTATATTAGATTTGAGTAAATATGTATGTGAAGAATACAAATAAATATATATAAACAATTAATTTATATGTGTGTGTACATAAATATTTTAATGGGTTCACGATATATCGATACGAAACCAAATCGTTGGTCGCTCGAAAACAGAAAAATCGATAGTATCGTTGTGGACATCGATTTTTTCCCAGCTCTATTTCAATCGTCCGCTAGATTTCAAGCCGCTCAAATGGCAAGTGTGCGTTGTTTGCAAAAGTTAATTCGCCTGCAGAAGCTGCTCCTGCCCCTCAGTAAGTAAAGCAAGCCCCCCCATACACCTGTAAGCTCCCCGTTGACTGCGTGCGGGCGTTACGAAAGAGAGCCCGCAACAAGAATCAGCTGTTCGATCGAGTAGTGTGCGCGTGTGAGTGCGAGAGGGGAAGGGGGAGAAAAAGTTAAAAGCCAAATGCCGGGAGCCGTCGTAAACTTCACAATTTTCCCCCAAAATTATAATTATTTGAGAAGTGATACATAAAAAGCGAGTTGTAAAACGGGATCAGAAAATGCTGGAGCAAGAGATGGAGTTGGAGGTGGAGGCGCCGGCGGTGGATCCCGTCGAGGCGGCCAATCTGCTGAAGCTCATCAAGCGGTTGCTGCTGGAGAAGGCCTACGACGGCGTGCGGATGCTCTTCAACAGTCCGCAGGAGGCGGAGCGGAACAGCCGCCACCTGCCGCTGATAGCCATGGACCTGTTCCACGACGTGTGCGCCCCGAACCTCACGGACGACGTGAACTGCGAGGAGTCGGAGCTTTTTGACTGTGCGGACGAGTTGCTCAAGCTGCTGGCCAAATACGCTCCGTTGCAGGAGCTAATGCTGGAGCTGATGGAGTGCGTGGGGGAGAGCAGCAGCATCAGTGTGTTCGGAGCATACCTGCGCGCCCTGCAGGTGCTCATACAGCGACAAGGACGCGACAAACCTCAGGCGGTGGAGTGGTGCCTCCACAGTGTCTACAGCCGTCTGCAGGAACTGCCTTTGCCAGAATACCTGACCGAGGGCTACGACGAGGCCCAAGCCAAACTTATAGAACAGGAGGAGGAAGTGGAGGACCTGTTGGCCCACTATATCACTGTGGGGCTTTTTCGCACACCCATTGTTACGGAAATAGTGCAGCAGGATGTGCGTCCGGCTGACCAAACCTTCAGGAACTGCGGACTGAACCGCCGCAACGTCTTCGCCTGCTTCTTCATCCAACTTTTGGGCCGACCGCTGGCGCTATTGGAGATGGGCTCCGTAAAGGAGGGCATGACGCGCACCTATGTAAGGCAGGTGGTGGAGGGCTTCACCAAGGATGCAAGCCAATGCCTTGGCGACCCATTTTATCTGCTTAACCTGGTGGAACAGCGCGCCAGGTGGCAGAGGAAGCTGGATGCCTCGAAGGGAGTCTACGAAATGAGCAGCCGAAACGTGTTTCTAATCGAGGAAAAGCTACCACTCCATGCCCTGGCCATGTACTACCATTCGCTCTTCGTGGGAAACCAACTACCGCCCACAGCGCCCAAGATATATGCACCTCTGTTTCTGTTTGAATCGATTGTTTACCTGGCAGAAGTCCTGCTCAAGCAGCAGGAGCCGCCGCTGCAGCATTGTGGTCTCCGATTGGTGGAGTATCTCCTGACCACCCTGGGGGACCCCGTTCCGTATGCCTCGCTGCAACTGGACGTACACAAACGCTATTTCGAGGCACTATGCAAAATTGTTGGGTACTCGCCACAGGTTTCCTTACGCCAGTTGGGGATCCATGTGCTCCGGCAATACGTGCTAGCCTTCGAGGACCAAGGAAAGTATTTGATCATAAAGAACCTGCTGGAGACCCAGCAACACGATGGACTGATGGGCTACCTGGCAGGAATGTACAAGGATCTGGTGCACGAGGTGCTGCTTAAATCCTCCACCATTCCTGAAGTCTACGGCGGCAAGTTGTTCCGGGAGATGCTGCTGCTGTGCGTTTGCGTGCTGCCACACGATGTGAAATCCGATCTGCTGCTGCACTCGGATCGCCTGTGTAGTGCTCTAAATATAGTGAGATACTTTGCGATAAAGGACAAGCAGGACGTTACAGGGTTCTGGCAGGCTCTTCCAGAGATTGAGCGAAGATTCCTGATTCCGCTGGGAAAGGCCCTGGACTTTTCAATGGCCCACTACAAGGCGTACAAGGAGCGTGTGGAGAACGGCCAGAGTGCCTCGGACGATGCCCTAATGCAGCGTCAGCTCAACATGCTGGCGGTAAACATCACCAACAGTGGAATGGCTGCAAAAGATGGGGACAACAACCTGCCCGACATTGGCACCAAGGAGAAGCTCGAGGTGCTGGCCAGCTCAATCACGGGACTGGAATCGCTGCTGGCCCTATACCTGCGTGCCAACGAGTGCATTGAACAGTCCGCCCGCCAGCGCCGCATCATACCACCCAGCACCACGGCTTCGGAAACTTAACTTATTCTTGCCTACATTTTTTTCACAACAAAAGCAGAATATTAGCGTAAACTTTGTGTGTAAACAGAACGGAAACCGAAATCTAAACGAAACTGAAACTGATTCCCAATCTGGTCTATGTGCTTTGCGTTCTTCTTGGCTGGGGCGATAATTAACCGGCTAATTGAGCCAGTTTGTGGGGTGCTAATAAGTTGGCCACAAAATGCTGGTTTTGCATTGCGTTATTATGGGAAGTATCTGCGTATACGAGTCTAAATGCATATTAGAACTTAGCACTTAACACTTAGCTTAAAAAATACATCAGCAAGTAGCAGCTATTGTAAACAAATAGCTGTTCTAATAGCCTTCAAGATAGGCTCTTCCTTGTTATAAAGATTCTTAATATTTGCAGATGCACAAAGCTCCCGTCAGTTGGCTTCTCTGCAGCCCAGACCGCTCACCTTCCTGCTGGCAAGGAGGACCTATGCCAATGATGAAAAAACAACCACCAATCTAGATGACTTTCGGGCACGCGAAGAGCAGCGCGAAAAAGAACGGGATGCCGCCGATGAGGCGGCGGCTAGGGCCGCACAAAAAGAGGCTGGTACGGCAGGAGGAGGTGCTGGAACGGGATCAGGAGCAAGTGGAAAACAGGATGATGCCAAGCAGGCCAAAGTCGATGCCATTAGAGTCAAGATCCTGGACGCCGCGCTGTTGCATGTCCCACAGCACGGCTGGACCAAACAGGCCATTGTCCAGGGCGCAGAGGACAGTGGCTATCCCAGCGTAATACACGGCATGTTTCCTGAAGGGGGCTTTGCTCTGGTCTCCCATTTCAATGGTAAGTGCAATGCTCAGCTGGTGGCGAGCCTGGAGCAAAAAACAGATGGTGGTAAGCTGGAGGTGGAGAATCCTCTGGACTTTCTGGTGCAGGCGGTACGCCAGCGCCTGGAGATGGTTGTCCCCTATAAGGCGCAGTGGCCGCAGGCAATGGGTTTGATAGCGCAGCCACAACATGCGCCCACAGCTCTGGCCCAGGTCTTGACCTTGGTGGATGACATCTGCTACTACTCCGGGGATCGATCCGTCGATGTGAGTTTTTATTTTACTCTCAGGTATGTTCATATTTAACATAGTATTATTTCAGTTCGGTTGGTACACAAGACGCGTGGGTTTGGCGACCATCATGAAGATGACTGAGCTGTACTTCCTGCAGGATACCTCTCCAGGACACGCCCAGACCTGGGAGTTCCTTAAGAACCGTATGGATGAGGCCGTACAGCTGCAGATGATGCTCTCGCAAACGGAGGGCATGACGCACACGTTCCAGCGTTCCTTCAACTCGGCGTTCATAACGGTGAGTCACCCGCTAACTAAATTAACAATTAGAGTAATGACTCATCCTGGCTTATTTTTTACGTATTTCACAGGCGCGTAATATACTCGGTCTGGGTTATAACCGTAACTAGCAAGGAAGCTGAGGTATTCCGTGATCCATTACCTCTAGCAAGGCACATGCAGTCCAAAGATGAATAATTCAGGTGGGAGAGACCCACCTAAAGATCTACTCTTATGTTTAAAATCCCTATGTATATACTGTGCATAAAGGTAAACCTTTGTACGAAAAGCTGTTGATTATCTTTCGTGGTTTTGCTGGTGTTTCACATTAAATGATTTGCTTTTCGAATCTTCAAAGGTAGCATCAAAGATATTTGCAAACTAAAATGAGGAAAACCCACCACCTCTTTGAACTTGTTTATTTGCTAGTTTTATTATCATACTGTGGCTTTTCTTGAATGTCTACGTTTGTCTGGTTAATTACATAATGTGCACTTAGGGTTTGTGTTGACCTAAGTGCTTCAAAGGTGACAGTTTTAACTCCTAAAAGATGATTATTCACAGCTCGAATTTCCGAGAATGAAACGACGACAACACAGTAAAAGATTAATGGGCTTTAATTGACTCACTCATAGCTTTTTAATTAAAATATTTATATTTTTGTGTACTTATCCCTCAAATACTAAAACAACACACATATAGATCAAAATTTTTTGTCTTGCCAAAAATATATGGACCCGAGAGAGCCACCAATGGCTAGACAAACTGTTCCAAGCTTCTGTAAAGTTGGATCAGTTGGCATAACCATAACCTGGCTATCTGTCGGCTAACGATTTTCTTTTGTCGCCGATCAAGCTCTTTCGCGTGCTTCTCCTCCTTTTCATATCAGCGCCGAACATATCCCCATAGTCCTTCTCGTTTTCCACGGACCACTTCGCGTCTTGCACTTTGTTTAGTTCCCACTGCTTATCCGTGTCCATGTAGTGCCCCACACGTCGATTGGCAATCCGACCATCCGAAAGCAGTCGCTCGGCTCCCGAGTAGCGGGATCGCCAAGTGGAACTCTTCCTTGAGTCATAAGGTTCGTAGAGGAGCCTCGGCATCTCAGGTGGCAAGTAGGCAGGAGGAGATTTTCTGGCCATGGACTCTAGTGTTATCACCTGTTCATCATTGTGCTTGTGACGCACTCGATGCTTAGCACTCCTGCCACCCGGACGCTCTGTGCCCGTGCTCTTCTTTCCTTTACTGTGGGGCTTGGGTGGTGGTTTTTTTGGAGAAATGATTGTGTGTATTGTTACCTCTTGGATTTGATTTTCTGAAGTTTTACTGCTACTGCATTCCGATGAATTTTTCTTAGATTTGTAGGGGTCCACCACCTCCGAATAGAGTTTAGATATACTTTTTACCGGCCAAGGCGACTTTACCAACGGTAACTTGCCATAAAAATAATTCAAGTCCAGGTCGTGGAGGGCCCGCAGCAGTTGTGGAATGGAGACCACACGACTGTCCCCAAAGAGTGATCTCAGCAGACGCACTAGTTCATCCTGTTCGCCCAATAGACAGAGTATTTCTTCTCGATCCTCGCCATTTCGATACCATTTAAACTTGTAGTTCAGCTGCCTCAACCTGGAGATATAGTCCTGCAACATGCGAAGTAGTTTGCCAAGTGTTTCCGGGGCCATCGGATCAGCGATGAAGCCATCGTCATTAAAGAGTGATCCTCTGGTAGGAAATATATCCTGCTCCGAGGTGTCACATTTGGGTAACCGGAAAGATCGACGTTTTCGATCTATCATCATCACTTTTCCATAGTTGGCGTATAGCAAAAGTAGCACCGCATAGTGAGCTGCTTCCGGGGATCGATTTATTCTCTTAGCCAGGCCGTAAATCACCCGACGATTGACCTCCAGCCAGCGCGCTGGCAAGGTGTCACACGGATCAGATGGCGGGTCTTCAGGCCTGGTCAACAGAGAGGGATTTGCACTGGAGGACCGACGGCTCAGCGGACAGCTGCTGGAGATGGTGCGCACCGGGCAATGGGGACAGCTGTAGGGGATTGGGGGACACGGTGTCCGGCGCAGGCGGCAGCAATGGATGCACATGGGGAGCACTTAAAGCAGCTGAGACGTCTTCAAATTTAGAATTTTTAATGGAGTGACCTACACCTTTGCCGGTGGGTTCGTACTTCTTGCAATGTCTACTTGTTGGTGCTAAAAAAAAGATGATTTCGGAGGAGCAGCTGTCCACAAAAACGATGACACAAACAGCACAGCCATAGCTATGGGACTCGAACTGGATCCGGGGTCTCTCTCCCCTCTGGGATTCTTAATTCCCTTCGTTTCATGGGTCTTAATTATTAAAGTTTACCTTACCAAAAATTAATCAAAGCTATAAATATATACTTAGAACTAATTTTACTGTTTATTTCCAGGCGAAATCTATGTAGCTGCATTTAGCTTTGTCTGAATTGGGTTTCATTTGTGGGATATCTTGTTGCTGTCCAAAAATTTTCTACATAACTATCTCATATTGCACTTAAGATGTTCATCTGGGCGACGCTCTCATTGCAGAGGTTCCAAGTAGGGCTCCTCCTCGGAGGACATCTGCTCCACTTTGCTAAACGAAGGAAGTGTTACCCCAAGGACTCCATTAAGACTTAAACTCACCAGGACTCCATTTTGGCTTGCAGTTGCTGCAGTCTCTGGGGCATATCATTGGTGGCCGCAATCATTGCACCCAGTTTATCCTTGAGTCCGGTAAAGGTCGGTCTGTGCGAGGGAACGGAGCACCAACAGCTCTCCATCAAAGCGAACCTAAAGCGTTGGAAGTTTGAGTAAAGATAGGTAATTTGAACTCAGTATCCTAGGTATCATAATGTTATACGGACTCACATTTCATTGGTGCATCCTTCAGGTCGCTTCATTCTGTGACCCTGTCGCAGCAGCTGCAGCAAATCGCTGGGTGACACCGATGGATACGGCATCCCACCGAGCGTGGTGATTTCGTAAAGTAAGACCCCGAAAGACCACCTGAATAAGGAAAAAGATAGTCAGAGCTCTTAGGACAAATATCATGGCAACACTTACACATCGCTCTGGCTGGTGTACACCTGGTGGGTTAAGGACTCCAGGGCTAGCCATTTGATGGGCAACTTTCCACTACCTCCAGACTTTCGATAGACATTCTCATGGTAAACATCGCGACTCAGTCTATAAATAAAGGAAGGGTTAAGAACATAGTTTATTGTGATCCAAAAAGAGTCTTACCCAAAGTCTGCAATTTTGATGCTGCGATCCAACGAGATCAGCACATTTCGAGCAGCCAAATCACGATGCACCACCTTGTTTTGGGCCAAAAACTCCTGGAAAAGTGGGTTATTTATAATATTTTTCATTGGTTTAAATTCTTTTAGTAACTTACCATTCCCACCGCCACTTGCTGAGCAATGTCCAGTAAATCCGCATATTTCAGTGGAACTCTGGGCTTGGCCTCTATGGAGTTCAGAGAATCAAAGTATTCCTTGTTCTCGAAGGTTCGGCTCTTGCTGTCTATCTTTGCCTCCACACTGGACACCTCCTTGGTCTCCTGGCCTTGCTCCACTTTAGACTCATTCTTGGCAGCCGCTACAACTTTCTGATTATGATAAGAACCGATATTCTCAATATCCTCCAATCCGTATCCCTTATTGTCCGCTGCATTTGTGATTCGAGTGAGTGTGTAGGTCTCCACTCGGCTGCTGTTGTGAGTCTGATCAGCCTCACTTTCCTCCTCCACAGTAGACAACATGGAGCCGTTGATGTCTTCTATGCGGTCGTGGATGGAAAGACGATTAGGTCGCTGCAACTGCCGCTTCTCTGCGTTCTGGTCGAGATTATGCTTGAGACCAACTACACAGCGCTCTTGCCGGAACTTCCACTCCTCTCTGAAATATAGAGCATTGGGTTGACAGGTTTAAATCACATTTCTTAATAGTTCGCCTCACCTCAAAAAGTTCTGGAGACTACCCAGGCTGCAGTATTCGATGAGCAACATCATCCGGCTGCTGCAACGTGTGGAATATCCCACAATGCCCACAATATTTGGATGTTTGCCTACTGCCTTTAGCATCTGGATCTCGCATTTGAAGGCGTACACATCCTCGTCATTGGGTTCATCTGGAAAATTGTATTTAAATAATATATATTCTGCAGAGTTAGAACTACTCACCTTTCAGCAGCTTGACGGCAACCTGTCGCTTTTTATATACTCCACGTCGAACCAAACCGAAGGCGCCCTCGCCCAGTACATCTTGGAGGAGGACCGACCGCGGCTCCACCTCTAGTTCATCAGTGAAGTCCATGCTCTCGTTGGCAGACAAGGTGACCAGCAAGCCACTGCTATCCATCAACGAGAGGTGGAAATCACTGGCCTTTGCCTCCTTGGCCTCCATTTCAAAGGCCTGGCAATCCGATCGATTCCGTCTGCAAAACGTCAGGGAGCACAGCATCAAAATGCAGATGATGGGCACAATGATGAAGAGTATTAGCTTAACCAGGTTGCCCTCTGTTTAGGAAAGAGAATTCATTTAATTTTATAAATATAGTTCTCCTTGGTACTCACCACTCAACCAGGCATCCCGTGGTGCCTTGTCCAGGGTCAGAACGCTGAAATTCTTGCCTCCCTGAGACAGAGCCCCCAAATGCACCTCGAAGTGGGAGCCTAAGACAGTGATCCTAGGTATAAAGAAGTGGGTCGTGCTCTTATCCAGCGTGAAGTTCACCTCCTTGCTGCCTAGGAACAAATCGAAAATACGAAGTGTGTAGTTGTCCGGCAGAAGACTGGGTTCCGACCAGCTGATATTCAGAGCCAACGTATTGTATTCATACTGCTCCTGCAGGACGCTTAGATTTTCAGGCTTGTGAGGAGCTATCAAGGGATATACTTTTTTAAATCAAGTTAAGAGAGTACAAGAAGGACTCACCGCAAAGTGTGTAGTTAAAGGGATACCAGTCCAAGCAACTAGGCGCCTCTACAGTTAGCCACTCCACTTCGCTCTCCAATCGGTTTAATATATTCACTGTTCTAACGCCCACGACATAGGTTTTGTCGAATTCCATGTTGTCCACGGTGTGTCTGTATAGCTTCCGTAGCTGGGGATATTGTGTGAGTTAGTATCTATTATATAGGAGATATGTTAAGACTCACATCCCGGAACTCCACCTGCCGTGGTTCATCCATATTCACACTGTTGGTTGAGTAGGACACCATATCGAAGTAGCAATTGCGCTCTGGAAGAGAAAAGGTTTATTGGATTGAGAGCTAAAAACTACATAGACTTGGAAAGAAGTATTTCTAGTATGTGAACGTAGATCCCTACCCGCCGAAGGCTGCCACTCAATCTCAGCGGCTATTCGATGGGTCTCATTGTTTTGGGGTACAAATCCTCGCAGACTTACGGCACCCATTTTGCTGGGTTGGTAACCACGTTGCAGGGTGACAAAACTCTGATCCCGGGCTATCAGGGAATAGCTACCATCTCCATGCACAGCCAGAGCAGTTATGTTGTGACTGGAGTTTGACTCCAAGTGGGTCAGTAAAATGAAGTTCTCGTCAGACTAAAAGATATGTTGAAATTAGTTATAAGTCTTTTTTGTATCTCAAGTATTTCCTTACCAAGTAAAGCTTCGTCTCGGTAATTTTCTCTCTGGCCACCTTGATAATGTAGGTGACATTAGGCGCTGTCTCATTTCCCCCACGATGCTGTACCCAATCTATATGAAAAACTATCTGCGACTCTGTGCGACACAGCATATGCAGCTGAAAGTTTTCCTGTACTTTGCGTAGTGGACCAGGAGCAGTTCCATTGGTCTTGCAGTCATTGTAACAGCCTCGAAAGTCCTGGAATTAAATAAGATCATCTCTATGTATGATTAATGATTAAGATTGTCGAATTAAAGACTATGTAACATGTAATTTTAAAACACCTCCCACTTTCTAACTCATTAGGAGAAATAATACCATCACAATTAGTTTTCTTGCAGCAGATTCTAGAAGTAAAACCAAGAGCTTCCTCTGAATATGGACTTCTTTTTCTATGGGGCATATTTGAAACTCCAAATTGATAATATTTTTAATGGAATTCCATTGAAATGATTAATTATATTCCACCTTTGACTAGTACCAAGCCAAATGGTTGGCACTACTTTGAGAAGCTCCTACCTGGTTGCCTGTTTCCAGACAATTCTGGGTGCAGGCGGTCACATTGAGCAGGGTATTGTCGTGGGAGATTTGCTGCATTAGGAGCACTTCACCCTTGTTGGTGCCCATGAAGAACCAGAAGAGAAATGCGTATTTGCCGTAGAAAATAAGCATTTTCTCTTATTATTGTTCTCAGATTTAGGTTTTTCAGTTCTTTTACACCTGGGTTTGCATGCAAAATATTTGTTTTTCTTTTCAAGCTTTGCCTTCGGTTTATTGCACTTTTGTCATGCACTTTGATACTCTAATTTATTGCATTTATTCATCAGTACTTTGTTTTTAAAGAGTTTAGTAAAATCTTGAAGTCCCTAAGCGAGATCAGATAGATCAATAGCTACCGCTTCTCTCGGTTTATCTGGACAAACTGCGACCCAAAATGTGACAGAGGAAACACTGAAGGAAAAAGGAATGAAGAAAAACGGTGGACTTGCTGAATATATTTTGTGCTATTTTGTTTTGTTTTGTTATTCACTTCTTCGACGGGAGTCTTCCCTTCCATGCAGTGGAGTGGATTGGACTAGGGGTCATTTGAAATGCAAAAATCGGTACTTCGTCATCGTAGCGCCAAGGAGGATTTCGAAATTCAATGCGACTACAACATATCTGATAATAAACCATATCACAATTAAATTAAGATAAAGATCATTAGGTTTTTTCAAGTAGTAATTCATTTTAATAGCTTGGTTTATATACATATATTTTTATAGGCTTCAGTGGGGATTTTCTAAATCTTTTGAACTATAATGAATAACGTTTTAAGGGAAATTTCTCATAAGGAACAACATTTGAATAATTCAAAATGTTTATTTTGGATTTCAGATTTATTAACCTAATAAATACAAAGAAAGAAAAGCTTTCCGAATTGAAATTAACAAATTTTTGACTTAGTTATGGCTTCTTAAAGATTGATTGGTTCAACAAATTATCCTATTAAATATCTATAAATATTGATATTGGAAATTAAGGTATTTCATGTTTTCTAGAAGGCATAAGACGTCCAACACCAATACTGTTTATTTTCAAAAAGCATATTTCGATTTACCATAAATTTGATAATTAAATATTGAAAAAATACATAAATTTAGAACATTTTTAAAAGGGAACCCTTGTCATAATTTAATATGTTCTATTTTCAGCTTACCATTTTTGTTTTAAAGTATATAATAATCTTTTAACTTAGTTATGTTTATTTTCTTTTATCACCTCTACTGCAGTGTTGAATAGCACCGGAATGTAATCACAGTTCGAAGGCTTTGCGCCAACATTTGAATATAAACATCAGAAACATTTGCTGACTCAGCCTATAACTTAGTGATTGAATACGCTAATTTTAAGCATTTAATTATACCCGATTTCCTCGCTTCGGTTTCGAATTAAACTAGTTGCATATCTAGTTAGGAACAGGTCTTTCTCCTGACCCCAGTTGCCCCTGATTCACTTTATATCGCCTAGACGCCGCAATTACATCTGTGAGTCAGTTGTTGCATGGAAATCTAGTCGAGTAATGCCTTCTATATGGGAATCTCGTGCAATACGCTCCAAGTTCTCAACGAGTGAGTTCGTTTGCTAATTTAGTTAAGTATTGCACGCTCGCGGCGTCGGTTCTGCTCTCAAAATGCGATAACGATCCATTACGTGTGTAAACATTAAGGCAGCGTGCTCTGTTCCAAACAAAAATAAATAAATACAACTGGGAGACTCTTCTATGACAGAGCTTTGGAGGTCAATAAATATATAGTTCTAATTTCTCTTTAAATAAACAAATTATTGAAGAAATTCAGGGTGAAACTAATTATTTATCAATAAAAGCTTGCTCCATGTAATTAGTATCTAGTATCATTTTTCGGTATTAATGACATTTAAATGGGAGTTAGATTATAAAACCAAATTGCTTATAATTAATGTATCTACTCTAATATATATTATATAAACAGAGAGTGTGGTTCATTTAAACTGCCACAATGGTCGGCTTTTAACAATGATAAGACTATATCACAATTGCAGCCAGACTTCTATTATAAGCAAATCATTATCTTGATTGCCAGAATTTTTTAACGCCCCAAGCAAATAACTATTAAATCGGTGGTATTTTTTTTAACAACTGTTACCGATAGCCGCAAACCCGCGCCATCGGCGGACACCGATAAGGATAAGAATTGGGTACTAAACATTAAAACAATTTTTCAGTCGCTGGAAGACCGTGCTAAGAGCCGCTACCTTATAATTGAAGAGCAGCTAACATGAAAATCGAGTGGGCTCCCAGAGAAGTTCCCATGGAGCGGCGTCGCCAGACGTTTGCCATGGCCTTCTTTATTGTATCCTTCATGATCCTGTCCCTGGGATCCTATTTACTATGTGCCGCCTTGCTGGTAAGTCAAAGAAACATATTGTTTAGTTATTGAAAATGTGTAGTATTTAACTGGAATTTCCTCAGATCTATGGTGGCCTCATGATTCGCAGCTTGGTGCTAGTGTACTTGGTCTATGTCTATGTGAATCACAGCAGAACCCACTCCATCATGGATGGCAACGGGTGAGTATTAAGTAATTTCAATGAGAGCCGAATAAAACCAATTAAAATAATCCCCTTTCAGGTGGAAGATTAATCGCAATAACTGGCTGTTTCGGCACTATCGGGACTACTTTCCCGTGCAGCTGGTTAAAACAGCCGAGCTGCCCCCGAACAAAAACTATATCATGGCCAGCTTTCCCCACGGAATTCTGGGGTAAGTTTGTTGACTGATAGCCAATCTTATCGGATACCGCTCAAGTGACGAAACTCTATGTAAATATTGAAACCCGCGATAGGACTGGCATTTCCATCAACATGGGTCTAGACATCTCCAAGTGGCTGGAGCTATTTCCGCAGGTCAGACCGAAGGTGGCCACTCTGGATCAGAATTTCCTGACGCCCATTGTGCGCGGCTTGCTGCGATCCTGGGGATTGGTCTCGGTTTCCAAGGAGGCCCTGGTCTATCTGCTGACCAAATCTAATGATCCCAAGCACAAGGACAATCGTGATGGCTTCACCTCCAATGCGGTGGCCATTTTGGTAGGTGGAGCTCAGGAGGCACTGGATTCGCATCCTGGAAAATATATTTTGACTCTGAAGAACCGAAAGGGATTCGTCAAGATGGCCATACGAACGGGGTGAGTGAAGGAGTTAGTTAACCTGGCGGATATCTATAAAGGATTCTTACTGTTATAGGTCTTCAATTGTGCCCACGTTTTCCTTTGGCGAGGTAGACATTCTGGATCAGGTGGCCAATCCCCCGAACTCCTCAGTCCGTCGTTTCCAAGACTTCGTGAAAAGATTCACAGGCATTTCCCCGCTTATTCCCAAGGGTCGTGGTGTGTTCAACTACACCTTTGGTTTCCTGCCCAATCGTCGCCGCATCGTTCAAGTTGGTGAGTCCTCCATTAGGATTTCTGGTAATGCCTTTACTTAAGGAACTCATTACAGTGGGATCTCCCATTGATGTGGTGCAAAGTGATCAGCCGGATGCTGCTTATGTGGACAAAATTCATAAGCAGGTCATTGAGGCCCTGGAAAAGATGTTCGAAAAGTACAAGGATGAATATATTCCCAACTCCAAACAGAGCAAGCTGATAATTCACTAGTCACCCGAGCGTATCGTGTTATTTTGTTTTAAAGAAAAATGTGATCAAACAAATGCTTTATAAGCATTTATAAGAAACAAACTTTTTTAATATTATAAATTTGGCGCTTTTGTTTGTTTTATTGTTTTATTGATTCTTCGGGTGAAGCTTTTAATAACAGTAAGTAGGGATTTCATTTTTAAATAAAGTTAAGTCGATTAACCAAAAGTGAAAGCTTTTAAATTAAAAATATATCGATAAGACCGATCATGTGTAGTGCTGGTAAGTGCGAGAGAAAATCGCTTTTAAAATTAAATTCGCGGATATGTTTAAATATTAAGGTACGGTTTTATAATACAAAAAATACAATGCAATATAGTAAATATTATAAAATACTTAATTGAAAATATTGTTTAAACTTTGATCACAGTATCAACTTAATCAGTGCTTTATAAAACCCATAACCTGTTCTACAAATATTGGACTCTGTGCACTTAGAGCAATTACCATAGCTTAGCCAATCATTTCATCATTGAAACATTACTAATCACTCGCAGTTGGCATCGGATTAAAAATAAAACCTTTTTCTTATCATATGAAATACGACCCCAGCATAATAAGCTAATTGAATCACCTCTTTGCTCTTTAATTCGTCGGGTGCAATAATTTAGTAGCCGCCGCATTTGAATCGTCGCATACCTTTGCACCTGTGATCGTGATTGCCCGACGTCGATTATGGGCCAACCTTTATCATCTTTATCACTCTAATCGCACATTCCCATCAGACCCAAAACAAAGAAGAACTACTGGCTGGTTAGTGGGCAACCGATTAGCCCCTAATGCGGGCGACCATCATCGGACCCCAGAGCGATAAGGATAAGTACAAGTTTAATGCAGGGCAAAACTGACCGTCGCTGGCTGGCATATCATTCAGTCGTGGGTGAACCGCCGAAAGAGTAGCTACTGGATTATTGGACTCTAACTAAATAGTTAAGAAATAAAAATGAAGATCGAATGGGCACCACTTCGGGTTCCTCTGGAGCGTCGTCTCCAGATAATGGTTACGGCATTCTTTACCTCTATGCTGCCCATTCTTCTGTCGGTTTCTTTTCTATTGGTAGCTGGATCTCTGGTAAACAAGTTATTAATCATTATAAAGACATGATAAAGATAAAGTTTATGTTGTTCAGATCTATGGAGGCCTCTTGCTGCGAAGTCTGATTTTAATGTACTTGGTTTACGTCTATGTGCATCACAAGAACACTCAATCCGTTGTGGATGATAATGGGTAAGTGATTTGAAAAGGAAAAATCTGTGGAAATCACCTCGTTTGATAAATACATAGTTGGATGATAACTCGCACTAATCGGTACCATCGCTATTATCGGGACTACTTTCCCGTGGAGTTGGTTAAGACAGCCGAACTTCCCCCCAACAAGAACTACATCTTGGCCAGCTTTCCCCATGGTATTTTAGGGTAAGTACATTGACAGAAAGCTAATCTTATCGTTTAAATATATATAGATACTGATTTGACTTGTAGAACTGGCATTGGTATCAACATGGGTGTGGAGATCTCCAAGTGGCTGGAATTATTCCCACAGGTTCGACCAAAGCTGGGTACTTTGGACCAGCACTTCCATGTACCCTTCATGCGGGAGGTTATCCGCTGCTGGGGATTGGTATCCGTCTCCAAGGAGGCCCTGATCCGCATGCTGAGCAAATCAAATGATCCCAAGCATGAGGATAATCGAGATGGCTTCACCTCCAATGCCGTGGCTATTTTGGTCGGTGGTGCCCAGGAGGCCATGGACTCGCATCCTGGCCAGTACATTTTGACCGTGAAGAGTCGCAAGGGTTTCGTCAAGATGGCCATTCGAACGGGGTGAGTGATTGAATCATGAACTTTAAAGGCATATCTAATGTGTTGTTTTTCTTTAGGTCTTCTATTGTGCCATCGTTTTCCTTTGGTGAGGTGGACATTTTCGAACAGGTGGCCAATCCACCGGATTCCTTACTTCGCCGGTTTCAGAATTTTGTAAAGAAAATCACCGGCGTTTCTCCGCTGATTCCAGTGGGTCGTGGTTTCTTCAACTATACCTTTGGATTCCTGCCCTTCCGTCGACGAATTGTTCAAGTTGGTAAGTTGCTTAATTTATTATATTTTTAATTTATTTCTAATTTTGCTACCGTTATTATTTGAAATTATCTTTAATGACTTTAATTTTCATTTGTTTTCTGCAGTTGGTGCTCCCATTGATGTGGTAAAGAGTGATCAACCCGATCCTGAGTATGTGGAAAATATTCATGCACAGGTTATCGAAGCTCTAGAGAAGTTATTCAACCAACATAAGGATAAATATTTGCAGAACTCTGAAAAGGCCAAGCTGGTTATACAGTAATTGGAAAACACTTAACGATTTTATGAAAAGAAGAGATTATAAAGTTGCATTTTTAGAGAGCTTTAGTTGTAAGACCTTGGAATGTTATTTATTGTTTTAACTAAACCAACTGTAGCTTTGATGTAAGCATAAAGCAATATTAATTTAGAAAGAATATATAAATTAAATTGAATTTTAAATTTTTGTTTATGGGGGTTGAGTGCCGTTTTAATTAAATATACCATTTGTTTCACTTAAAATTAAGTTGATTATCAAGCACTTAATTTTATACTGTGTGATTAAAAACCTAAATAATATTCGAACCTTATCAATTCGATTGTTTGGTTGAATGCTTTATGACAGCGGAGGCGCTGCACCTCATAAAGCAAGATAATGTTTACTTTGATATTATGTATAAGTTTAAGTAATTCCAGTAATTACCTTAAATAAAAACAAGAAAGGAATCGAAATTCGGGAAGTTAGGATTATAGGATTATAGGTTCGAATGTGCAATCGATCATAACTAAGACAGAAATGCATGAATTTTAATTCGGAAAGCTGTTCTATGGTACTTTTTGTATGGCTAACAAATCTGTATACTGGGTTTCAAAATTTAAAAGAATTAACATTTTTGTTAATTTCTGAAAATTTATAACCCCTTATAAAAATATCACATTTTGAGACAAATTTTGAAAATTTTGTTTTTTCACCGGATTTGGCTAGATCGACTCGCCTGTTGATGCTGATCAAGAATATATATGGTTTATAGGGTCGAAAATGACTTCTTCACTGTATTCCAAGCTTCTGACTAACCCTCTGCAAGGGGATTAAAGTGCCAATGATCATATTACAATTACATCACTTTATTTACATTTCATTGTAACGGCGTCTGCATGAATCAGCACTTGTTCGACGGAGACAATCGACGCCTGATAACAGGGACACATATTTATAGTAAAAATACAACAAAAGTCAAACCAAAACTCTTATCAAAAAAGAAAAAATAATAGTTGTGGGGAACGCAGAGTAAAATTTTGACTGTTGCGAACCAGCACCAACATGTGTGACATACAAAAAAAATTGTTCTAAAGGTCAAGAATTTTTTTTGTGATACGACAGTGACTGTGTCCAACATGGGAATCGTACCCAAGACCCATATAACCTGAACCCAAGATATGATTCAGCGTACGGGGATCGTTTACCACCTGTTATGATCGTCATTATCGCAATTTACAGGCCCTCTTAAATCGAACTATTAGACGCTCCTTATCGCACTGATATTGCTTATTGATTTGACTATAATTTCTGCATATAAATCTGTATGGAATAGGCTCTTGTCCATACATTGTACATCTGCAGTGAGTGACGTAATCTTACTTAACACTCTGTTTGCCCGATGTCTAGTGCCTGGCTTAGACATTTATCTGTGGCTTATCGCCGCTTGGAGTGAGGTCCTCCATCACGCCCCGAAGAAGAGGCGGCGGGTCGCCGCCTCGTTGATAAGGATAAGTACCGCCTTTACATACTGGAAATCATTTGCCGCTGCTATGCCATCGCTCAGTTGCTCGAAAGACGTCGCCAGAGTCGCTACTTTGTGTCGAAGATCGGTCTCAAGATTTTAACATGAAAATCGAGTGGGCTCCCCTCCAAGTGCCGCTGGCACGGCGCCTCCAGACCCTGGTCACGGCTTGCTTTACCTACACAATTATCTCCATGCCGCTTCTAGCCTGGATCATGACAGGTCTCCTGCTGGTAATCCTTGAAAGCTTTGCTCTTTTATCCAACGAAAATGTGAAAAGTGAAACAGTGAAGCTGTAAATGAACTTCTTAGATGAGTGAACAAATAGTGTACAAAAATATAAATAAATGTGACTTCTAGAGTTTTAAATTACAAAATAATGTGAAAAAGAGTGTTTTGTAAAACATTATAAAATAATATACAAAATGTAGACTAGACTTCATAATTCCGGTGATAAAAAATTAGCTTTTTGAGACTCGGGTCCAGGTACTTCATTCAAGAATCATATGTCACGACATCTGGCTATAAAGACTTTGTAAAAATTAGATCATTTACTTTTATATCTTGCTTTTTCCCCATTTTTAACTGAAGATTTTGGCTTAGTTATAAGATTTAAAATTTTGATTAATCCAAAAAATTATCATCTACATAAATAGATTAAAAAAATTCGAATATTTTAAGCTTAGTTATTTCCAAATCGATCCAATAATTTATATGCAAACTGCATAAGCTTCGGCTTCCCGAATTTGGTTTACTTTATTATTTTAATTGTTATTAAATACTCATTTCTTTTTAGTACTATGGATGTCTCATTTTGCGCAGTTTACTTATGATTTATTTTGTAATCATCTATAAGGATTACAAGAAAAACTACGGCACTATGGAGGGCAATGGGTAAGTATTATACATTTTATAGCTCACTTACTTGATAGATAATGGCATTATCAATTTCTCGTAGCTGGTCGTTTTACCGCAGTAATCCGAAATATCGCAACTACTTTCCGGTGGAACTTGTAAAAACCGTTGAGTTGCCGGCAAACAAAAATTATATCCTGGCTTGTTTTCCTCACGGTATTCTTGGGTAAGCATTTTAAAAATTCAAGATTTTATAGTATAGTAATATAATAAATTGGTTAATTTTTTAAGAACTGGCATCTGTGTGAACATGGGCATGGATATCGCAAGATGGCTGGAATTGTTCCCACAAGTTCGACCTAAAATTGCCACTCTGGATCATCATTTCAAGACCCCAATCCTGCGTGATATCGTTCGTTATTGGGGTATGGTGTCAGTTTCCAAGGATTCTCTGGGTTACTTGCTTAGCAAATCGAATGATCCCAAGCATGAGGATAATCGGGATGGTTTTACCTCCAATGCGGTTGCCATTTTGGTTGGTGGAGCCCAAGAGGCCATGGATTCGTATCCTGGCCAATACATTTTGACCCTAAAGAATCGTAAGGGATTCGTCAAAATGGCCATTCGAACAGGGTGAGTGATGAGCTTGGAATGAAGTCGAAACTGGTATTTATTTTTTTGCTATTTGTAGGTCATCAATAGTGCCCACGTTTTCCTTTGGAGAGGTGGATATATACGATCAGGTGGCCAATCCCCCGGAGTCCCTGCTCCGTCGCTTCCAAAATGTGTTCAAGAAATTTACAGGCATTTCACCGCTGCTGCCCAAGGGTCGTGGCATGTTTAATTACTCCTTTGGAATACTGCCTCACCGAAGACGCATTGTGCAAGTTGGTGAGTCCTTAAAAGGCTGCCGTTTACCTTTAAATATATTATTTAATATAAATATTAAATATTCCAGTTGGCTCCCCCATCGAGGTGGTGAAGAGCGATCAACCCGATGCCGCCTATGTGGATAAAATCCATGGCGAGGTGATGAAGGCGCTGGAGAAGATGTTCGAGGAGTACAAGGAAAAGTACATACCAAATACCAAGCAGAACAAGTTGATTATTCAGTAATTGGGAATAATACTTCGGATATCTGCTGTACAATGTGATTTTCAATAGAGTTTTAAGGAATACAGGACACAGATGAGAGATTATTTTTAACGAAAGCGCATGTTTTTTTGTTGTTTTTCTTTTATTAATTACCAATTAAATTTGTTACCTTATATGTACTTATATATACAAAAAGAACAAGGAGGTTGGATTCTCGAATTTTTGGAAAAACTTAACTTAATTTCGCATTTTTGTGCCACGATTCTCGATCTTGATTCCGATTTAACAACTATAAGGAATTTGTGCTACGCTAGGAAAGAATCAATCGCAGAATTCCTTTCAAAGGTACAATTTCATTAATTTAGCAACAAATCATCGTCATCCGTTTTCAATCAATTTTTTTATTAGCTTCTTATAGTTTTGTTTTGTGAATTTATTTTAGTTTTTTTTTTTTAACGCTAAAGCAATAGCAATATTAGAAGGGAAAATTTGGGAAATATTTAGATTCAATGAGAGATTACTAGTTACTTGTAGTTGGCTTCATTATTCAATGATCGACTTTAGATTTATCTACAAATATTCAAATATTACGAAAAGTATTCGTCTAAATATATACTTTTAGAAAGGAACACTTGGCATAACATGGGGTCTCGATTTAGGTTTTGATCTCCCTTAGGAGGGGTTCTCTGTTTAGTATTATTTGTATTATCATTTAATTGTTCAATAACAGTTGAGAGTAAGCGCCATTGATAGATATATGTAATTATGGTATATAGGTATATATCCCGATTGTTGTACTCCTGTAAGGTGGTTCTCATACAAGCATAACTTTTGAGTAGACTGTACTTGCAGGCTAGTTTGAGTATTAATTGCTGTGATTCTTTAGCTCCCCCCAACGCACTCTGATTAATTTTTACCTAAATTCTTTTGGTGAGGCAATACAAAATATATGTAATTGGCATATAATTGTATAGGCGAGGACATCCTCGGCTGAACATATGTACTTATAAGAACGTTTCCAAAAAACTATCTTCTCTCTTTTTTTGTTTGTTTTTGGGTCGCTATAACTCTACTTGATTTCTCATTTTAGGTACTAGCCAGGCTGCCGATTGTGGTTCTCGAGGAAAGCGCATTGTCGTTATCTAAAATTTGTTTCATTTTCATTAGCTTTTTGTTTTCGTTTTGAATTTACTTTTTGGTTTTTGGTTTTAAATCAATCCCTGAGTGCATTTTACTTTGCATTTAATTGCGTAGTTGCTAAAAATCAACTGCTGGTGTTTTGCTGTGGCTGTTTGGCGGCTTCTGGCTTCTGGTTTGAATGTGGCTCTGATTCTGATTACTGCCGATTGCTGCGAGTGCCATAATTGATTCGACTAATTACCTATGTAATACAATTACAAATATATATATATATATGTATATATTCACATATATATATTGTGTATAGCAGTGGCGTGCTATTGGCTTTGATTCTGAATTTCTTTTGAGCGCAAACGGTGCATGGAAGATAAAGGGGACGTGTCTCGAGTTCGAAATCTCCTGCGCCTCAACATTATACTCTCATATCAAAGTTGAACATTTAATGCGTAATCAGTATTCATTATTCATTATTCATTATTCATTACTCGTTATTCGTTAGGTTCTTTATTGGTGTTTCGATTCCTGGGAGGGGCCTTACGGTGAGCTCTAGTAAGTATCTACAAAAGGTTCGGCAGGCTCCGTGCTGCACTCATTTACATATCCTTCGCCTGAGCTTCAAAATATATATGTATATGCTATATGGTTCTCTCCCAGCGTGGTTTTGTTTTAATTTATTAGTGGTGTATATTTAATATATATAGTTATGTATAAATACAATTGAATTATAGTACGTATGTGTGTATATATCGGGGGATCAAACTGCATACGCTTTAGCTCTAGTATTAATACATTAATAATACAATTTGTAATTGCAAAGATAACTAACAATATGTATACTTATTCATGTAGTTTTGTTTCCTTTCCGTTTAATCAAGTACAATTTATCAATTTTGATATTTAGAATAATCTTGTATATATCGGTATATGCGGGTTCTCTAATCAAATTTCATTTTGTTCAGCATTGCCAACGTTTTTTTGGTTTCTTTTGGTATCCTTGTCTCGTCAACGAGTCCTTACCCCCATATCCTCTGTACTGTCACCTACCAATTATTCAACATCTAGTTTTTTGTAGCGAATTAACAAGGGTGTTTGGTTGTTCAATCAATTTCCAATGCCAACTAATTAACTAATTTCCATGCACTTCATAAGAATGTTTTACACAATTTTCTGGTTTTGGTTTTGCTTTTGGGATCTGCCGATTTTTAATTTTTAGCTAATTGGTTTGGTATTTTTTCCTTTCTTCTTATGTTCTTTTTTTGTGGGGAGGATCGGGCGACTCTGCCACTCCCATAAAAGTATGCTACACAATGTTCAACAAACTTGCGGCAAGTCAATCGATAAACGACAACATCGAAAGTTATGCGCAAGTAAACAAATATTACTTATCAAGAAAACAAAATACGTTCTATATAAAATCTATAAAAACTTCACAAGTGTGTGTGTATCTATATATATATATATAAGTATGTATCTATGTATATATATGCTATGGTGGCTGATCACTGTCTCTAGACAGCTACAATGGCCGCCATCTACGAGGCAGTCGGCACAGGATTGAAGTAATGCAGGCCATTGGTCTGTGAATAATAATACAAATATTCATATAAAATCGGTGTTAAATTTTGTGTAATAGCCATCCCAACTTACCGCCATGTCGTATTCGGTGATGTAGGCGGGAATTTCCAGCTGATCCTTTGTGATGGCCGAGTACAGATGCTCCACACCCGGCAGCGAATGCACTTTGGCCTTGATGGCTGGCGCCATGAAGGTGGTGAACCACCAGGTCATCATCTTAGTCCAGAATGTGGGATGAACTATGTAGAAGGCCTTCAGGTTCTTCTTGTACCTAAAATGAAAATGATCAGGTTTAGTTGATGATTCTGTTGGGTAGTTTTCGAAAGTCAGGACTCACTTGTAGGGCAACACACTGTAGACCTCGCGCAGCCAGTGCAGCGAAGGATAATTGTTGGTGGACGTCAGCGTGTGGAAGTACGAAATGACATAGTCTCCTTTAACGATGGGATCCAGTAGCTTAATCAGATATAGCAAGGCCTGCAGATACATACAATTATAAGCTTTTGTTTTTAAGATTTTTAAATTTAATATATATATTACCTTCTCCAGGTCAATGTTCTGGGCGGGGAACCATTTGCCGCAGAACACAATCACAGGCCGACCCAGGCGGTCCACGCCGCTCTGGTAAAGGCAGCCGATGCCAGAGACCTCCGTCAAGTCCTCGACTTGGGCGCGACGCAAAAGGCGTTCGTATCTGGAAAAAGATGAAATCCAAGGTTAGATTTATAGATAGACAATTAGAAGATCTTATTTTACGTGAAATAATATTGAAATAATCAGTTTACATACATAAGATTAGTAAACCTAAATCTCTTTCTTAAACCTTTCTATTCTATAAATTGCGTTGATTAATTAATAATACTTATTGCATATTTATTACTTGAGATTTATTGTTTGTGTATCATTTTATTTATTTCCAGGTGGCTTTCCATGTTCTCTAGGCTGTTTCAATATTTATCTTTCTTAAATTGTAACCAAAAGATACACACAGTGCACTATTCTGAGAAATCCAATACAGAATAAACAATGGCACCTACATAAGATCGATTGCAATGTGGTCTACACGCATGGCTGCCTCTATTTTAGATTCCTTTCGCTGTGTTTATACCCTGGCCTCTGACTTCTCAAGTACTACGAATATATACATTTATTGAACATAATGGAGACATGTGGAGGCCTGGTTCGATCGATTATTATGTGGCGTCACGCAATATTCCAGGCCATATACGCAATTAATGGCAACAGTGTAGCTGGTGTCACTGGCCCAGTGTCTGTCACGACCAGAAGCTGCTGTAAATCGCCTTGGCCGACTGCTGCTTGAAATTCACCTGGCAAAAAGCACTAAACATCATGTTTATCTAACATACCTGGCGAATTATAAATTTGAAAGGCGTGCTAAGCTGATGTTTTAGCTCGCTTGCTTTTTATTTGCTTAGTGTGCTAAATTTGAGGCAAATATTTGTCAGATAAAAAGTACAAAATTAGAATGGGAACGGGGGCGGGACAAAATGGACAATTAAATGCATGAAAAACTTGCATTAGTTGGGTAATTAGATAAATGCGCAGATTGCCCAAGATGACTCACTAATGAAATTGAAAAGCGAATCAATATATATATATATATATATATACATTTAAAAGGTGCCGAAAAGCTGTGTTAAAGTGATTAACAACTTTCCCAGCCGCCACACGGCGGAATACAAACTTTCGAACACCTTAGCCTCCGCTAAATCGAGACTAATGTGAGTCAATTTTCAGCTGACTTAATGCCATGATTAAGCCAAATGCTTTCGGACGGGATTGTGAATGCGATAATTGGCCGCCTCGTGCCGCAGTAAGCTCCGGTAGCAGCAACCGATAAGCCTTTTAGGACTGCAGAGAGGAAACCAGATAAAGATCGAGATAAAAGTATCCAAAAGTGACGCATTGTGACGCAGCCTCTTAGCCAACTCAATCTCCATCTCAAACTCATTGCTTGTGTTTGCCCAGGCAAAGAGATACAGATACAACTGCGGATACGGATGCAGATAGATTGGGCAGGTGCCGGGCGGTGCCCCCATGAATGTGATTATCGTGCGAAAAACACAATGAATATTAAAGCGCAATGCTAATCCGTAGAATAAATCTCACACTTAAACCAGTCAACGCCACGGATAAGTAATAATAATATTGTTAGATCACATTTCCTGTGCCGCACATGCCGCGTTGCATGTTATTACCAACTGGCACGTACGGAAAAACAAGGCCGCGAGAGACAGGCTTTTATTTTTGGAGCGGATTAACTTCATGCAGCGACTGAATGGATGAAGGTTGCATGGTTAAACCAAAAGTCAGGGACAAACTGCAGGATGCACGAACTAAAGGATGCACAATTCTATAAATGGAACTCAGAGCAGTTCTCTCAAAGCACAGTGGTACTTATCGATGGCTAAATAGCTGACTGAATGTTTTGACTTTTATTGAAAGCTATAAAAACTTAAAACGCTAACTGGTCACAAATCTGGAATGCTATAACTGGTAATTACCACTTGGTCTGTCTTGTAAAAATTATTTCAGAAAACAGCTACTCAATTCTTAAGTAAACAAATTAAATATGAATTATGCAAGTAATAATTCTCTAAACTTATTGCCATTTTGTAGTATTAATATTTTGCAAGTTACCAGTATGCATTAAATAACATATGCTGTTATGAGGAAAGGTAAGGTTCTTCTACCTAAATTTCAATTCTACGAAATTCACAATGAATATATATTCAGGACAATAGTTCGTTAGCCTGAATTAGAATTCCTGACAAAACCCACTATATTCTCTCCTGACAGTTATGACTTTGATTTGAATGGTTTTCCCTGTGTAATGCACCCCCGCCCACCGCTGACGTCATTGCCCCTTGGCAAGGACCAATTGTTTACTGCAATAGGGGGAGGCCAGAGATGGGCGGCGGTTATAGCCTGTCCAACTCCGTGACTGACACGTTTCAATATAAACTTCCGACGGGGCTTGGAGGCGCTGTTTTTTACCTTTCCTCCGGCGTCTCCATGAGCTCATCGGGCAGAACGTCGTTCATGTCGCCCGTAGTTTCTTGCATGGGACTGGAGCCCAGGTCAATCGACGTCATTCCTTCCAGCATTGTCATAGTTTTACACTAGCCTGTAGTTGTGGTTGTGTTTGTAGGCGTTACTGCCTTTGTTGGTGGGTGGCACTGTGTTTTGTTGTTTCCTCCTTGCTTTTTGTTCCCTTTGACTCCGTTGGCCCGTTCGCCCTCGCGCACAATTACTGTTTATCGATTTTAAGTCAAAATAGAAATTCGGGTTTTTACAGTTAGCTCCAACTGTCCGTTTTGATTTGCTTGTCGCGGTCTTTAGTCCAATTTCGTATTCAATTGACGCGAATAGTTTCGTTTTGTTTTCTCCTCTTTTGCTAAATATTTATAAATAGTTCAGTGTGCTTTTGTTGGGAAAAAAACACTTATTAAGTTAAATGTTCAGTGTGTGGGCAGCTTGGTGGCCAGACTTTTGCGTTTTACGGAAGCCGCGAATGGAAATGCAAAAATAGTTCTCCTTTATGCCTATAGCTGTTTGCTACAGTTGACTTTATGGATTTATCACCGATGGATTCACATATAGAATTGGCGCCAGCACTGGGGATTCGCTTAGGTGCACGTCCGTTCGCCGCGAGTGGAGCTTTTCGATTGAGCGAGTTGGCGGCGAGTGGCACTGCTCTTGAATCTTTTTTGCGGCCCCCCCAACGGCATCTGAACAGCACTGAGCAACAAAGCAAGGGTTTCTATATGGGAGGAGCACAATGATATGACATTTATATGCTATACACTAAACCCAGCAGTTTATCATATTCAAGATAGATAATATAATCAAAGCGAAGGCTTCTCTTATATTTAAAAACTAGTTCAGAGGCAAGAAATCATGGAAAGTGTTTTAAAAAATATATATTATGAACTTTCTACCTTTAGAAAAAAATAATTAAATAATATTACAAATATTACAAATGTTTTAAAAACATATTAAAGTTATGTGAAATTCAATAGACTCTACAGAGTACAAAACCAGAGTAGTATAGTGTAGCAGCAGCCACATAGGAGAGAAAGGCAGAGCGAGAGCTTAAGAGAGCGGCAATGCCGCCATGAAAGGAAGGCGAAGAAAGCTCTCGCACTCTCACGCGCCGTGATGCTTTCATCCGCTCTCACTCTTTGAGCTTGCGCCCTTTTACCTCCTCAATGACATCAGTTACAACATCAAGAGAGTTGGTTGCAAAGACAGTAACAACAATGAGAACGAGCCAAGGACATCGGTTTAGCCGCTTTATTTGCACTAATGTCAGTTGGGGCTAAAACAAAACTGTCCAAAAAATGAAATCAGTTTAAATGTTTGCTCTGTCGGTTGGTTGCCAGCTAAATGCGCAAAAAACGAACACAGACGAATTCTATTTCGGTTCTTCCTCCCACCACCACCAACTTGCGTACGCGTGCAATGTGCAACATTTCCATCAAAATGGAATGCTAAAACAATACTATGGCCGTAAACAATAACAATGTTGAGTCATTCAATTAACATAAAATGGGAATGATACATATTCTCTGAAGGAATGGCCAAGATTTCATTCCAAATATAGGTTTTTAGATGGAAAACTATAAAAATAACAATTATAAAAGCCTTGAAAGTGTTTTATATTATTCATTCTGCTTCATATCAATAAAACAATTAAAATCGATGGGTTTCCTATATATCTCATTTGCTTTACAAATAGGGAAATATATGTAGATAGTTAAACAACGTTTACGTACGACATTTTTAAATTATTTAAAATTAAAGTTTGAGCTAATATTACGCTTTATTGGTTAAGTATGAATAATTAACATAACTGCATATTTAAGATGACCTCAGTCTGTAATTAAACAAAGACACTGACCAAGAAGAAGCTGCACAGTGGGGTGCATTACCCCCGCACGCACTCAAAAAACTCGTCCAGGAAGCGGCGCCCACTTGTCACCACCCCACAGAATCCGCCCGCCCCTCTTTACCGATGGAATCGGTTGAATAAATTAAGATGCCTGAGAGATGTTACATTTAAATGTCTACAAAATGTGTGCGAGGCATTTGTGCGGTTTCATTCAATGAACTGCAACGGTTCGATATTCTGATTATACCTGCCACCGGCCGATCCGGTTACCTTCGCAGTCCCCCCAATGCCTCCAACACATTCCCACACCGATCTCAGCTGTCATTTTAATTATTTTAATTAGCAAAATGGCTAATATGCAAAATCACATTTCTCATTTTTATATGAATAATATTTGGTGAATTACTGTATTGTAGATCTCAGCTACACTCGTATTTTTGAATATTCATAAAATTATTCAGGGATTAGTCTAATTATAGAAATGGATTACGAATATATAATATTTATTTTGCATTTAAGGCATTATTTTGATTTAGATCACTTGGAGTTTTGTACCTTTCAAGCGGTTTATCTATTCTTTCGCTGTCACTTGCTTTTGTCATAGACATTATCTCCGCTCATATGAGCATTTGTAAATATTCATAAATATTTATCTCTAAGCTTTATTTTTTATTAGCAGATACGTAAAACGGAAAAGTAAATGTTTTTCCAACAGATTTTAAGAGTTGTTTTTAAAAAATAATGCATTGAACTTCGAACTAAGGTTTATTAAGAACGATTGAGTATAAAGAAATAATTTTTAAAACAAGACGATCTTTGGAAAACCGAAATGTATATATCCATTATAACTAATACAAATTATACTCAATTTCAAATTTAAAGAAAATCAATTTTTGGTAAAACTTTGACAATTTTAACGATGTAAACTTTTATAAAATTTGCAAAACTTAAAAAAAAATTAAATTTATTCCGGACATAGCTAGATCGACTCGGCTGTTAATGCTGATCAAGAATATATATGATTTATAGGGTCGGAAATGACTCCTTCACTGCGTTGCATGCCCCTGATTGAAATTATAATACCCTTGCAAGGGTATAATAATATAATAAGAAAATAAACAATGTATAAAGACAATATTTATCCCTATTATATTTTTGTATACTATTCTCAGAATGTCTATCTATAATATTTCGTTAAGAAATCTATTTAAATTAAAAATCATTAGTTTAAGCATCATTTCCCTCAAAACTAAATTACATAACATTACAAAGTTCGATTTCGTAAAAAAGATAGTCTCCAAGAAGACCTTATAAGGTTCCTTGTTGGTCATAAAATGAATTAAACTCTTTTTATAGACCTGCCCCCCATTTTGGAGTGACCAAAACAGGACTATAAATAAGAATGTTACCCAGCTGCGTCGCTTGGGGATTCTTTCATGCAAACTATGACGCCACAGCCTTTCATAACATATTCATACGTCACGTTGGACGACGTCACAAGGAAAAGCACAGAAGGGCACTTGGAATGTCCAATTAGCATTGTGCAGGACGATGGCCAAGTAAGCACTTTCCTTTCGCCACTCCACTTCAATTCAATTCAATTTGAGCCCGAAACCGAGCTGCTCCTGGATTGCGTGCCACGGGTCTCTAAAATTTCGACAAGCGGCGGAATTTACATAGAGCGGATGGCTTAGGCCCGATGGCGGGAATAGGCATTTGCCAGACGGTTAAGATATTTCCGGCATGCTCTTGTAATAAATATGCTTGGCCAAAAAGGCTCGCTTACGAGGTGTTTATGGTGGAGCTGGTGGCGACCTGCTAGCCATTCTGCGTGTCTTTCCGGCGGTTTTATGAACTGCAGATGTCAGTCTGGGACAGTGCGTAATCTTAAATCGCTCGAGATCTACACCGATAATCCATAAAAGTCCATAAGTGATCCCTTTATCTGGGCAAGTGCCAGCGATTAAGTAAACAAGGGATATATGAATGTGAATATTATAATCTTAATCAGCATATTTGTGCAGATGAATCAAAATTTGATTCTAAAGGGGAATTATAATAAGTCTATCTTGATCATGTTATTGTTCGCTATAAAATAACTTTGTTTGAACCAAATATAACATAGACGGAACCCTGACCTATCAGGGGTTTCTTTCCTTATAAAAGGTATGTTTAGTATTATTTGATATTAAAATATCTTTTGGAAAATCATTTTTCTCCTTCCCTAAATATTCAATATCGTGATTGTTTGAAATTTCCCAACCTTGGTAATATTTGCATTAATATTTAATAAGTTTTTAACAGTTTTTGAAGCTTATCAAAGTTCTATAGGTTTGTGGGACCCTTTGCTAACCTCTTTCTTATTATTAATTAATGATATGTAGCTCCTCAAATAACTTTCGACACTCACCTCTCTTGGTGCTCGATGCCTTCTACTCCTTCGGATATGACATTCTCGTAAACTCCAGTTCGCGGACGATCGCTGAGCAGATGCTGTCGGTCCAAATCTAGCTGTTTTAAGATAAAAAAAGTATATAAATTAGGAAACTGTTTTACTGGGAAGGTAGTTAAACAAAACTTACCTGAAGCTGTGCTTGTAAACCGCTGCTGTAGGAATTCAGGCTCAGACCATTCATATCCCGAGCTCCATACTCCAGATCCGAGCTATTACCTTCCATATCGTGCGGACTGACGTCTGAATCGTCGTCGGCTAAACAGAGAAAATAAGGAAAATAATTACTTTTATTAGTTATTTGTAAGATATAATAATATATATATATAGGAATGATGGATTTGAATATTAAATAATGTCATAAAAGGCTTTTTTCGATCAAATGATACCATTTCCAATAATAAGAAGTAAAAGTACTAATTATCTGATGGCTTACGGATAAACTACCAATATTTTGAATTTTAAAAGATACCTTCATAAGAAGTTTTACCTATTTAAATCATTTTTAATAATTTATAAAATTTCTTACTTATTTTAAATATCATTCTATTAAAAACATGATTTATTATCAGTATATATTTTACATTAAGTCTGAATAACATGTTAATCCCTTTGTACCATGTTATCATTATAAACTTTATATATTTTTGTATGCACTCTTTGTCATAAGGGGGAGTATAAGGGGGAAGGGGTTTATGATCTTTACACGAAAACTCAAACGAGTTGTTTATCATTCTGCCGCTGGATTTCGATTATCGGCGCAGAGCTAACTTTAATTGCACTTTTTGTATCTTTTCCGAACTTCGGCGCTGCGAAATGTGAGTTGAACGGAACACAAGCTCTGGCCAAATGAGACACTGACAAAGCAACGACGAGCGTTGGAAACGCACACGAGCGCTAAGCAAAAACTGGATGCTGACCGCCCCCTCACACAAACAAGCTCCCCTCTCTTCCTCAGCATCTGTGAAGAGATCTCTCTCGACAAAGAGACAGAGAGAGAGAGAGAGAGATAAGCTGATAAGTCTGATAACTTTGATAACGCGCGACTGCGGCGTTGACATGATTTAGGCCCGAAAGAAAAACTTGTCCAACACACACACACAGAGATATACAAGTGAGTGACACTTGTTGTGATAAGTAACTCTGCTCAGGTAAGTTAACTAACTTGTTGATAAACTAACAATTAATACAAATAAGAAAATCTTTTGTAGTTAAATCAACACGATTAAATGACTAAATAATTAAACGTAATCAAAAAGGGTTTGAAATTTACAATGATAGCAAATAATCTAGATTTGCTTATGACATTTAAAGTTTTTAAATTTGTAACACTATTTATTATTTATGTAACACAGCAAGCAAAGATTGAAAATCATAACGACTTTAATTAATAAAGTTTTATCATTCAGTTATGATATTTTTTAGTTCACTTTTTGATATAATTTTCTTGTAATGCTTTAACTTGGTTCAAAGTATAAATCTCTTTCCCCTTTAAAAATAAAATTATTGATTCCCATAGTAATTAAAGTTTCTTGAGTGTTTCGTTGTATTTTCATTAAGTATTACAAATAAATATAGATTTATATATTATCATATAACTAAAAAATTCAATACTCAATTATTTAAGTTGCCTTTAAGCACACATTCTTCCTACAGAAAAAAGTAATAACTTTTACACGACGCCATTTTCATCGCAAAAGTATGCTACGAATTCTAACACTTTCATAGCACTCAGTCTGCTGTCGCTCAGCCCAAGGCAACTGCGACATCGTTTGTTAAATACTGTTTTTAATCTTTTAAATTTCACAATTTCACTTTATAAAATACCCCAAGCTGGTTAAAAATAATATCCTTGGCTAGAGCACTTACTAGTAAACTATAAAGAATGTGAATTATTAAAGCAATTCAATAATATAATCAAAATAAAACGAAAACGCGCGACTTTTGGCTGACAAATCGAATGCACCTACTGCCAAGTGACCCGCACACAACCGACTTTGCAACGTAACTGAAGCCCCACAAGTCGTACAGTCAGTCAAGATAGATTGCTGACGAGCGAATTTTCCTCCCATTTCTCTTGTGTTTTTTCGGTACTAATCTTATCGACAGCCAACAATGGAACTGTATATATGCCAGGTGATAACACAGTCTTTATCATCGACAGTCGATTGATAAGCGAACGATGAGCAAACAGTGAGGAGGGCACAATCGCGAAATCACAATCTCTGGCGATGCACAGGAAGAAAAATTAAGATCTCAACTTAATCGGTATAAAGTGTTATTTACCAAAAATGCTGAGAAATGCAATTAGTAATTCTCTTCTTATTATTTATAGATCAAGTGCATAACGATCAACCCTTGACTATTTTATATTATTACTTTTGCTGATTTATAATAATTAGTAATGAATAATAATTTATATATTTAAACCCCCTATTTATCATTATATTTAATGGCCTTTTCGGTATAATAACTCACCCTGGCGATGACGCATGTGGACACTGTGCTGGGGATTCCGAATAATACGTATTTGACGATCGGGATCCGGATGCTGTGGCTCACCGAACTCGCCACCAATGTCCTTGGGCAGCTGCCACAGGGCACTGCGCTCCTCCAGCTGATCCCGCGGGAAGTATAGGGGGCCAGTACCTCGTACGTGCCACGCTCATTAGTGCCCACGCACAATATCACAACCTGCAGGGTGCACTTGTCCAGATATCGTCGAATAGTACCTGTAAATCCAAATAAATAGAGTTAAAATATATTTTTGGATGAAAAGTAAAAAGAAAATACTTACGCAGGGCAATGTGGGCGGCCACATCTGCGGGAAAACTCTTCTGGTTTGCACTGATGTTGCACAGGGCAATGGTGTGCAGGTTGAGTTCCTTCGCCTTGCAAAGGACATTTCTGTAGCAAAAGTAAGGGAATTTAGAAAGGGATCTTAAGTATATTAAGTATCATTAAAAACGCACCTGTAGCAGCAGTGCAGTGTGTTCTCGGCGGCTGTCTTAAACTTTTCCCTATAGGCAGGTGCCACCGTATGCAGCACGTACTTGGCGGGCAGATTGTATCCACGCGTGATGCGCACATCCCCAGTGCGGCATTCTAAACAGGAGAGATTATAGTTGTTAGTTAGCTAAAAGGATAATTCCTAATCCTTTGACTAACCCTTGACAGTGGTGCTCAGCTCCTCGCGCAGCTGGTTGCCAGCCCCGGCGAAGATCCGCTCCGATATGCTATTGCTTTCAGTCAGAGTCTCATCGCTGGTATTTGTGATGGCATCCACATCCAATGTGGTCATGTCCCCATCCCTGTACCATAAAAAAGGCAATAAGTGAAGCTTCTTTTGATCAATCTTTGTGGTTTTCTTACCATATTACAAAGCGATTGTTGACATCTTTGGACAGGGGAAACGGACTCCGGTTGTGCCGTGGTCCGCCCAAGGACGAATAGTCCGTGATCGGTAGCCGTGTGTCTGTTTTCTGTGAGCCACCCCAGGTGGCTAGGTTATCCAGTTTGACGAGCTGCAAGATCAAAAGCAATGAGCAACTCTTTCTCCAAGGAACTTATACTATTTTATAGAACTTACACATGGGCTGGAGCTGGATTCGAATGCTTTAAAGTCCACATTTGAGTTCGTGTCGAGACGCATCGCTCTGTGAAATGGAAAATGGGATCAAAATGAAGTTAGTTATATAGATTCGAGTCATCCAACAATCAATCAGTCTTCAACCGACTAAATTTTGTTCATCCCCAATATAACCTGTTCCGCTCACTCGATTTGAGGTGGAACCGTTCCCATTTTGGTCGACAAATTTGTTTACAATCAACTCTGTGTCCGGCTTCGGCCAGTTTCAGCTCGCACAATCTGAGTGTGAGTATGAATATGAGTGTACAAGTGGGTATAAGTTATCTCCGAGTGTCCAGAACTCCGCGAATGAATCACAACGACTGAACCTAGTCGACATTTCTCACACAGAAAGCCATTTATTTAGTTCGCTCTGGAGTCAAAAAGGCAGTGAATGAAATCTATAAATATTTACTTTCTAATTGTCATCGTTAGTTGTCATCACGTAGACGGAAGATCTTAATTCGCGGGTAAATATAAAAAAACCTCGAGGAAAAACAGCTCAAATTGTGTTCTACAATGCCAAAGAAGGGTGTGACTATATTAAATCTTATATTTTTTTATATATCAATGCGAATTATCGCTGTTAATAATGGTAAAATATTTAACATAATAATAAGCAGAAATTAACAATTTCATCTTGATCTGAGTTTGTTTATTTAAATAATCTTGATGATAAAGTGTAAAGAATATGTTTTGTTAGGGAAGCAGGTTAGTATTTCTAATGAAAAAGAGGTTTTGAAATATAAGTTTTTATTCGATTCAATTCTATTCAAAAGTTTATAAACTTTTACCCTTTAAAAAATTAAAGTGCCATTCTAGGGAAAACCTGTCTTCCCATCACTATAACTATATAGAACGTTGTAACCCAAGGGCTGATGCTGCAGTGAGTCCCCGTACCAGTTTCCGTCCCCACAGCCACCCCCCGCCCCCGCTCATCTCACCTGAGCACACCTGAATGTGCGTCACTCGAGCCGAGTGAAAGGTGAAAACAAAAGCAGAGGCTAGAAAAGCTGGCAAGTGCAAACTGCAGCTGCGCTCTTAATTGCCATATCAGACGCTCGAGGGCGGTACCAAACCGCCCACGTCCACCAGTTGAGCCCTTTGCCCTTTGCCCTTCACAGGCTTGGGTGAGAAAGCGGCAGAAACCTCAAAATGGATGCAAGACTCTGACCCAAATTGCCTCTTTGGGAATCGAGCGGCTATATATACACATATATCCATATACATTATGAATTGGATCACTGGCATTGTCACGGATTTGTGTCGAGAGGTCCGGGGTGCTATCGCTTGAAACAAAACTTTCCACAGTCGCATTATCCACACTACCACACTTGAGTAAATATTGTTGATTTGAACGAAATATACTAAGTTTAAGTTGTATATAAATGTTCGTTATCTGACTTAAATTAAGGCTAATTGGTTATAATCAATAAAAACAAAGACTGATCTTAAAGCTGAGACAACAAATAAATAAATAAATAATCATTTAAATAAATAAATAAACATAAAGTCTCTTTGAAATACTTTGAAAGATTAACTTAATTTAGAATGTAGTTAATTTCAATTACTCTATATAAGAAAGTAGTAGATAAAACCATTAATTGTAGTATAAAAGGTCTTAAGATAACCTTGATATTTTTCTTTACTATAAACTAATTTAAAAATGCCAAAGTTATGAACTTCAATAAATAACTCTACTTAATTCATGGCTTATACATCTCTTCCTTACTTAATTATAATTATCATTCCATATTTCGAGTATATAATAAGATCACTTTATAACAAAAATAAACCAAAAATGTATAAATAAATGTTGAATCAGCATGGAAAAAACCTTCATTCTCTCGCTTGTCTCACTAAGAAACTGCGAAGAATCTTTCGAATCTTTATTGGCATCTTAAACCCCCACACAACAGATACTCAAGCGAAAAGATAAGAAAGTTGTAAACACAAACAAACAGATATATATATATATATATTTCCCTGGCCTCCATTATGTGTATATAATGAGCTTCATTCAACGTGTATCCGTAGATGGAAGCCACTATAACGTCATTTCAATTGCCAGATCGGCCAACGAACGGCAATTAGCCACACATTCAAATGTTCTTAATGGGGCCAAGAAATGAGGGGGAGTGTAGCTTTACGTGATCTGTTACTGATCGCAGGCCTTACATAAGTTTGGCAAGCTTTGTTTGTATTTTTTATTTTAATTTTGTATTTTGTATTCTACGCTTAACAGAGGCACCCTGTATACAAGTCAGACTGGTCTAACCACCGATCAAAATTGACAAATACTTTACAGATTACTTATAGTTGTTGTTGTTGTTGTTTTGTAGCTAACTGAAAGGCAAATGACGTCTTAACTGAGTTGGCCTTTTGACCAGGCCCAGTACTACTACCACTCACCCCAATGCTTATCGAGAAACAAACAAACAAAGTGGTTTTGCAAACAGTACAAAGAATAGTAATGACTTGTCTCATCGTTGAAGAATTTCCATACTATCTACTTGACTTAAAACAATCATAATTATATTTTTACATTAGTGAATCTGCTTTTGTCAGCGAAAATAAGGCGCAATAAGTCTAAGTAGTACCTTGTCTATGGGAAATTATTATTTTTGATAAACTTCTTCGATGAAAAACTGATTTAGAAATCTATTCCCGCATTTTCAAAGACTTGTGGAATTATTTCAGCAATTTTTATATTCCAAATATTAACAAGAATGAAAACTACCTTCGGAAAACTAAAGTTTATGTTCCTTTGCAGAATGCAATTGAATTATAGGATCTTATTTCAAAATGATCATATCTAACATTAAAATAGTCCCATTCTTAAATCATTATTTTTGAATATTTTGATATTCAAATTTTTACCATAAATCAGATCTTAAAAAACGCATAACTATTCCAAAAATGCATTAATTCAAATTCGGAAAGCTTTCCTATGTTAGTTTTTATTAGGTTAATAAATCTGCATACTCAGTTTCTAAATTAAAGAAATTCAATATTTTTGCCAAATTTTGACAATTTTTACGATGTAACCCCTTAAAAAATTTTTCAAATTTTGAAAAAATTAAATTTTATCCGAACATAGCTAGATCGACTCGTCTGTTAATGCTAATCAAGAATATATATGATTTATAGGGTCGGAAATGACTTTTTCACTAAGTTGTATGATTCTGACATTATAATACCCTTTAAGGGTATAAAATATTACTATGTTGTGAATTTTCTCTTGTTTCTTCTATAGTAACAAACGTTTATATATTAATTATTTAATTGAAATATATATACGTATTAATTGTATGCTTGTATCTTCGTTTTAAGCTGTGGTTTGCAACTATACCCAGCCATGTGGCAGGCCCTGCGCTCCTGCTGATAACTGGCTTGGCAGGAAAGTCCTCGGATTGCATTCGACATGAGCAATCACTAGCCAGGCCCGTCCAGGCAAGACCACCTCAACCAGCAGAAGCAGTTACGTTACCCAACTGGCTAAAGTCCAATGGGGGCGCACATGTGATTCCCAGCTTTCCTTCGCCTCGCCTTGATTTGTCTTGCCAGTTGGCGTGCCCGAGTCAATTACATTATTTCAACTGTGCTGCATGACATGATTTCTGCCTCCACAATTCCATACCCCCATCCCCCCTGGAGAGGTGGGTGGGATTCGGAAATTGTGAAAAGTTGCAGGAGGCAAATAACTAAGATGTAAATAGCAAAAGGGGTCTGGGGAGCATAGTATTGGTTCAATGATACCAAAATCTGCCGAAGGCTAATACACTATAATTGGTTTTCAAATTGCTTAGCAAATGGCAAGACAATAAAGGAAGATACACAAATTATCGAGAACTATCGCTCTTATTTTAATAAATTTTGTTGAAGCTTAATGTATGTGGTGTTTCCTGTCACAGTATCGATTAAATAAAGTAATGATTATAGATAAGATAGAAGTATTTCAATATAACGCTTATTATAATGCAAACAAACATTAAACTTGTTGGGTTTCAATTTAATAAGAGAGTTTGAAAGATTAAACTCATTTCTATAATGGCTTAAATGAATTAGAGTTAACTGAAGTTTTCTATAAATATTTGTTAAAGAAGTAGCATTAAAAAAGGTAAAGAATTAGTTTATTTTGGTAGAAATGTTGCAGGAAATAAGAATCTTATGATTCGAATTCTTATTACTTAAGAAATTAATACTTTTTATTGTATTTCCCTGGACTCCGTACCTTCGTAAGGAACTTTAAGCTTAAAGATTTAACTAAACCCAAAAGGTGAGGGCATTTCCCAGTCGATCATGGCTATTACTTCTTCCATATATGGGCCTCGTTATGGGACTCTCGACGCGATGCCCTTCGCCACCCGTTCTCGTTTCGGCAAAAATTGCTGCCAGCAAGTTTGTTTACGCTACACGCTCAATCCGCCAAACTGTTGCATAATAAATGCGAAATTGTCGCCCACATGCCAAGGCCTCTGTCGAGCTGGGCATGTTCCAAAATAAAAAAAAAGAACAAAATCAGAAAGAATAAAGAAAAAAAGAAAAAAAAAGTGCTGCAAAAATACAAAATACTTGGATTTTGTTGGCGTCGTGGGGCATGTAAAACTACAGGGGCGACACAGTGGATGTGGCAGTGGCAGCGGCAGTAGTAGCATTGGCATTACCACCGGAGTGGAGTCAGAGCCAAGTTAGCAAGCGAAATCCAACTGGGCTGCGCTTGGCACCGAAAGAAACCGAACAAACACATATTAAGTATACGCCGTGTGTGCCGTCAGTGCATGAGCAGGTTGTTGGCATTGTCCTTTGCCTTTTGATCTCTCGACTGGCCCCAGAGAGAGCGAAACGGGCCAAAAGCAAATCCAATCCCGCCCCCATCTCAAACACACAGTGCCAGTCGGGAAGCGGTCCCCGATTTGTGTATCTTTGGAATTTTAGCGTCAAGTCACCGCCGCCCAAATATTTGTTGTTTATATTTACTACGGATGCGTCATAGGCGAGGCCTAACCTCGTCGCCATTCGCGACTATATAGCCATATAGCGTTCCAATCATTAGCCAATGGCCCGGCTTATAGCTTAGTGTTCCACCAGCAACAACAACAACAACAACAATGCACAGGGCCCTGACGTCACCGAGATTAATTTCCCAATTTCGCAGTTCCCGATCCAAACGCCATTGTTAACAACAAATTGCAGCAATTTTCTGGGCATTATCTGCCACCAAATTGTGTCAAATTGTCGCACAGGTCTAACCCCCGCCTTCCCCCTCCCAAAAAACTAATTATAATTTGCAGCAGTCAGCCGAAGCTTCTTGGTCTATATGTTAGTATCCGCGGAGGCGAATGCATTTATATAATGATGGTTGCTGGAGCATTAAATGGATGGTCAAATACCCTGCCTTGGCATGTCAGAACAATGGCTTCACTCGGCAATTGTCCATGCCATGCTCGGCCAGCTCCCAATGACCCCAATAAGTTTCGGCCTGGCCAGCACAATAACTCCAATATACGGCTATAATGCCGATTGCTTGGTTGGTTGCGGGGGAAATTACATTTCTATTAAGGAAATTCCACAAACATGTGTGTGTATGTATTTATGTGTGCTGAGTACACATATTGTATGGCGGCGGCAAATGCTAAAACGCTTATTAATAATTGTCAGTTAACTGGAATGGGGGGTGCACAGTGGGGCCAACCGCCTGGAAATGGGGTACAAGTTCAAGGGGTATTATAAACATTTGTAAAGTATTTGGAAACTTTGCAGAGTATCTTTGGTTAGAAATTGAGTTAGAAATTAATTATATTTACACAGAAGTTTTCTTCTAAGTTTCTTACAAAACAAACTGCTCGAAAGAAGTACAATTCTCTAAAAATTAATAACACACTTTTTTTTCCATAGCACGAACTTGACTAATTACCTTTTTATCATATTTCTCTTTATTTTTTTTATGAGTTTTACTAGCCATTTCGCTTGAAAGGTAATTAAAAAGGAATACAGAAAGTTAATCTATTAAATTAGAAAATTATGGCCGAGCTAAGTGTAAATGTGTGTAATGAGCTTTAAGAATTTAAAAAAAGGATTTATGAATAACACAACAGTTTCTCGGCACTAAAGTATTAACTCTAAAGACTTTAAATTTAGTTATTTGTTATAGAACTTATTTTATATCTCATTCTTAATTTTTTTCAGGGATTTTACTAATGTTTTAAAGTAAATATAGTTTTTATAAAAATAATATCAAATAATAAAGATAAAATTAATGAAATATGTTAAAACTATAAAGAAATCTCTAATCTCTGGTAACTTAAAATCCATTTTGTACATAAATGGTAAACATTTCGCTAGTTCTTTACCACTAAAACCAATAATTATGGCATTTTACAACCAACTACTTGGCCCAATGCGATTTCCCCTGGCTGTCTCTGAGCAATTTCACAAACGTTTGATAATGGAGCTGCGTTCAGGCTGCTTTCAGGAAAGCCTCAAGGGTTTGAGTTGGACATTGCACTGTCAATTAACCAACAGTCTCGAGGGGGATACAGCCATGCAGGTCATGCCTGTAACCCTGGCAGCTGGTTTCCGGAGGAACATTGATGGGCTTGATGGGGCCAAACTGCAGTCATATTTCATGTTCAGCAGCACACAGGAGGAGCAAGGATAAGCCCCCAGGCAGGGGGAGGGAGGGAAAATGGCAATGGAAATTGGTGGTGAAAGCTGGCTATGTTTCTTCATTTTTTTTTTTTGGGTCCGGTTCTCTGAGCTCAATCAAAATGCTTCACCACTCGCTTATTTATGTATTTTTCGTATAAATTCCTAATGCATTCGCAGTCAATGTTGCAGCACGTACAAATGCGGGGGCCGGAAGGACCTGGAGCTGGAGCTTGAGCTTGAGCTGTGTGTGTGTGTGTGTGTGTGTGTGGAAAATGGGGTCTGAGCAGCATTTCCCGCTGTGAGGTAAATGTTGTCAGTGAATAAACCTGTCACTGAATGAACTTAGCGCCACCCACAGCGGCTGGCAAAGCCAACGGCAAAGCCGAAGCTCTCGCTATTAAACCGAAAATCATAAATAATTAGTGGCATAGCAAGTGGAAGTTGCACAAGCTCGGCTCTTGAAGGTTATTCCACATTTCTTTTTTTTTTCTGTTTTCTGTTTCTGTTCAAAACGTGCGACTGTGTGCGCGTGTCTCTCTGTAATTGCTGCGATGTGACTGTCGGTGTGTGTGTGAGTGTTTCTTTTTTTTTGTATTTATATTCAGTCAGTTGTAATAAAAGAACGCTTTTCTGCTTACGGCTTACTGCTTTTTCACAAAAATAAAATCAAAATACTGTGGTTATTGTATAACACCCGATGGAGGATCCAGGTAACTGGCCTCGTTTCTTTCTTTCTTTACTTTCTTTCGTTTTTTTTTTTCAAAAAACTGCACACACAACTTCTTTCTTTTTTTCAAAATGAAAACACCAAAAAGACAACACGCACACACGTACGCAAGACACACTCACACACAGACACTCGAAGCGGTCGCGAGGGGGTGGGGTGGTGGGTGTGAGATAAGGGAAAACGCGGTAGGCGCGGCGGCGGTCGCTCAGGTAACTCTACCCTCGCGCGCTTCTCTCTCTATATATATGGATATATATATATAGATATATATATATATACGTATATATGTTTGTGTGTGTGTGCGTGGGTGCTTTGGTGTGCGTGTGTGTATTTGCAATTCCAAACTTTACGGGCTTTACGCACTCGGTTTCCGTCAATCAATGAATCAAACTCCAACTCCTTGTAGCAGCTGCGGCGCACTCGCAAATCACTTTTTGTCTCGCGTCCCGTTTCGCTCAGTGTCTTTTAACTCCACTTTTGTGCACGACGCCTATGTGTGTATGTGTGTGGTGTCCGTGTGTGTTTTTGGTGTTGTGTTGCAAGTTTCTGTGTGGCTCACAAAATCGGCTCGAATCGCTTCTTCTTGGTTTTTCTTTTTGGGCCCACCGCACTACTCGTCTGAAATCCGCGTTCGACACTGAAGTTGGCCAGAGCTTTTGGGCCAGCTTTAAACTTTCGAAAACTTGACTTGACAGCGTGGCCAAAGCTGGCGGCCGTGAATTAACCAGTTTTCGTGAAAAATAAACCTAACTCTCTATAAAATACCATAAACTGTGACTGAGCAAGTTATTTTTATATGCTTTAAGTATTCTAAATGTTATTATTTCTATCCAAACTATAACAAATAGTTAACTGACTCAGATATTTTTAAAGTAAATAGCTAGAAAAATGTAATAAAAACTGAGAAAAGCTTATATTAAACTTAGAAAAATTTAATAAAAACTGAGAAAAGTTTATATTAAACTTAGAAAAATTTAAACAAAATAATATTATAATTTCTTTTCCGTCTGTCCGTTTATTAACTATGATCAGAAAGTACCTATGACCAGTAAGAATCTATGAGCAGTAAGTAACTCTGAACAGTATCTATCACCAACAAGTAACTATGATCAGTAAGTATCTATGACCAGTATGTATGTATGATCAGTTACTAACTTTGAACACTAATAAACAATGACTTGCAACTTTTGTAACAACACATTTCTGAGACTTGGCCGGCAGCAGTCACTTCGTCCCGGGGATGTGAGAACCAGTTGGGAATCATATGTTATGATGATTAACTAAGAACAGCAAGTATCTATGAACATTAAGTAACTCTGAACAGTAAGTATCTATAACCAGTGAGTAACTATGATCAGTAAGTTTCAATGAACATTAAGTATCTATGACTAGTTAGTAACTATGATCAGTAAATATCTATTACCAGTAAGTATGTATGTATGATCAGTTACTAACTTCGAACACTAATAAACAATGACTTGCAACTTTTGTAACACAACACTCTTCTGAGACATGGCCGGCAGTAGTCACTTCGTTCCGGAGATGTTAGAACTAGTTGGGAATCATATGTACAGATGTGCGAGATTTGTTTTGGAACAAATTTAAGAGCAAGCTATTAGAATTAAACTATGAAAATATTCGTCTATATAATGTTACATACATATATATAAGTCGGAGAATGGCGAATCGGTAGACTTTATATATACATGTATGTATGTAACATTAGTTTCTGTCATATATAATATTTCTGCTCGTTAAAAATAATTTGACCAAAACAATATATACATTAAAAGCAAATACTAAAAAATACAAACAGTAAGTTAAATTGCAGAAAAAAGCTAACTGGCACAAAACCCAAAGCTTTTGAAAAGCTTTTTGAATCCCATGGCGCGTATACTTAATTTTTTCAAATATATGCGTATACTTAATATTTGCAAATATTAAGTATACGCATCAAGTCATGCTTGTTTTAAGCTCTTATTGAAGTTTTAATGATTTGCTAAAGACATATATTTATCTAAGTAGCAGGTGTCTGCGCCCCAGGTATTTGTTTTGCTTGAAATTGTGTGTCTTTATGGCTATATGAATGCCTGCCGCTATTGGCTGGCGCCTCATCTGCATAGACTTGTTATCTATTTTTGGCTCGCTTAGTATCTTTTCAGGCACGCGAAAAACTCTTTGGGCCATTAACGGGCTAATCAAAATGCATAAATCACCAATATCCCAGATGCCAACTATAAACACGCTGCCGCACGGCGAACCGTTCACCTGCGCCGGCTTCCAATCCAATGTGTATTTGTCATATTTCCAACCTATCAACATCTTCGTGGGTCATATAACATAGCCAGACTGGCTATGGCTGCATATATGTTGTTGTAGTTGTTGTTGTTGTTGCAACAAAAACACAAAAAATTATACAATTACCCGAAAACACAGGCGAATTAAATTGTACTCTCGTAGAAAAAGTGAAACCGGGCGGCCAGAAGAAGCGAAAGCCGCCGCCGTCGACGATGAAGATGAAGATGAAAATGAAGATGAAGTTGTAGTCCGAGTTGGAGCTCCAGTCCCAGTCCCAGTCCCAGGCCATGGATGTGGATGCACTTCGGTGTGTCTCCATCGGCGTCGCCTCTCTCATAATCGGCAGATGTTAGCCATAAAAATTGGAAAGGAGGAAACAGTTGCTTCGTCGTCGTCGTTGTCCAATGAATTGGAATGGCCAACTGGTTATAGATGGCGAATCTGCCAACGAACTTCTCGAGCCCCGGTGTCCATATAATGCCCAAAACCCCCCTCATCCCATCCCCTTCATACCCAAACCGAGAGTGATAAATGCTTAAGCGGGGGATTTATATTTTTTGTTTTTTGTATATTTTTTTGTAATCATTTTTCGTTGGTTTTATACTTTTTAGGTAATTTTTGTTTGTTTTTATTGAAATTCCTTAGATCGCAAGAAGCGCACAGAAGTAATATGTATGGTAATTGTTTTGTATATGGTATAGATATAGATACATTATTATTATTATCATTTATAGATATAATGTAATATGTAAGTAATATTTATATATTGTTGTGTGTGGGTGTGTTTCGTGTGTGTGTGATATAGTGGGGTGTGTTTGGTGTGTATGTTTGTTGGTATAATAATTAGATATACGTAATTAAGTATATATTATATACAAATCTCAATGGATTGTTGATTGATTTGCTTGAATTTACAATTATATCTGGTATCTGTATCTTGTATCTGGTATCTTTATCTGTATATATATATGTAGATGTAGATGTATAAATTTAAGATTACACGCTAGAGATATTTCAAAAAATGTCCACTTCTCTACAGGCTTATCCAACTAACATACAGCTAAATAATATATATATATGTGTATATATCTATATTTTATTGTTATTGTATTGTATTGTATGGTATTGTATTGTATGTAAAACCCAAGCATTATTTTGCTGTGGGACCCAAATATATTAAAAATAAACCCTCTTCTCTTTTCTGCAATTGGCAAAACCAAACAGTTTTCATTCGTTTCTTCCTTACTTTTTTTTTGTAATTTTCCCTTTTTGGTTTAGGATTTTGATTCAGTTTTAGTTTCGCGGTTTCAGTGTTCAGTTTTTTGTTTTGCTTAGGTTTTCTTCACGTTTTAAAGTTTGCACTAAATAAAATGTTTTTGCAGACTGCAAATTGGAATACGTTGGCTTTGGACCTTGTCGAATATGCATTAGATAATCTGGATATATACACATACATACAGCGTACATCGTTCATTATGTCACAATGTTTAAACTAAAGTTAATACATAAATTCAAAACACAAGTTCAGGGGGGTTAACATTATACAAAAGAGTGTGTTGTGTGTGTGTGGTGTGTGTGTGTAGTGTGGTTGTGTGTGATTGGTAAAAAATTCTCAAAGAATGCACACAGAGAGGAAACATCGTAATCATCAACATCATCATCATCATCGTCATCATCGTGGACCGTTTGTCTTTCATTTTTGTTGTGAATATAAATATATATACTATATATTTATCGGGCATTATGAGAATACATATATATATTTTCTTGTATTTTTATTGCAATTGCAAAAAGAGGAGACTTACACATAAAGCAAACACTTCTTGAGGTTTCTCTTATATTTCTTTTTTGTTATTTTCATTTTGTTTGTAGCATTCAAAGTATAAATATTTTTGTTGTTTTTAGAGAATATTTATGTTTCATATGCATAAATATATATATGTATATATATATCAGTTTAACATTCATACACATTATCACCCTTCTTTTTTCATTCGCAAATACTCCATAACAATCAATCAATCAATCATTCACATACGTGTTGCTGTTGCTTGACACACCGAAAATGTTCTACAAAATATTACACTTCTCAGAGATTTTCCCTATATAAATATATATTTTTTATCGTTTTTGTTGCTTGATTTTCTTTACATTTAATTAAGTTGTTTTTTTTTGTGAATTGAATTTCATTGAGCAACTCTTTCCTAGATGCCTAGAGATACATCCTCTGAATATCCGCCTCGTCGTCGTCGTTGTTCTCCTCCGACATCTTCTACTACATTTCAATTTGACTAATATTTACATATATCATCGTTGAATTTATCATCGTTTCAGCCTGCAATTAGATTGTTGCTTGGAATTTCCAGACTGGAAGAGAGCCCAACACTCGCTGCACTTGGCCCACAAAAAGGTCAATTCATAATTAACAGGCTGCTGCTGCCGGCTTTAAATCATTTTTCTTCAGTTTTTCTTTTTTTTGCTTTTCTGTGTGTGTGTGTTTGTTTATTTAAAAAAAAATACAATGTTAGGTGGTGTGTGGTTGGTGGGTGGGTTGTGCGGGGGCAAATCCAAAATTAAGTCATATTCAGCTTTAGCTTTTTAGGGGTTTTGTTTATTACAAAAAAAAAAAAATGATCATGGGCAAAGTTGGAAAAAGATGAAAACGATTTTGGACCGAGCTAACAAATTGAATTTTGGCATTACATTAGTTTTTTCATTTGGTGTTTCCCTTTCTAATTTTTTTGGTAATTTTTGATTTTTTTTTTTTTGATTTTACAAATTGAAATTTAGTTGTAGACACACAAGTAACGTTGAGAGGAGCCTAGTGACAATCCTTAACTATGATAGGTTCGATTCGAAATCGTTTTCAATCCATCTTGGCGTGGCTTATTTTGGGTTTTGGATGGTATGCGGGTTAGCGGCATGAGAGTCTCTTTAACAACATCTAACAGCGGCTGAATGTTCAGTCTGCAGGCATGTATATATTATTAAAGTAGGAGCGTGTGCCAAGGGTGTCGGTGTCTGTGTCTGTGTCGGTGTCGGTGGTGGGAAAGTCTTCTTGCAAGTCGACATTTGGGTCACATTGAATATATATATATATACACATATATCGATTGAATTGCATTAGAAAAGGAGCTGTTGTTAAGTTAAGACCTCTCATCGTACACAGATAACGAAAAGAATTAGCCAACCGAATGAATAACGACGAATTAACAACAGTAATCGAAACAGTATACATAGGGGCAAGACAGGGCAAGCCAACATGAATGACCCTCATCTCCTTCTCTCTCTCTCTTTCTAATCTCTCTCCCTCTCTCTCTCCCTCGACATCCTTCTAGACAAACTGGACTTGCTGTTGCTCCTGTTGCTCGGTCACATTGAGGTATGAGTCCTCGCCCAGCAGCAACACACTGGGCGCCGAGCCATCGTGCGGATAAAAGTAGGCAAATTGTCCGCTGTATGTGCCCGCCGCCGATCTTCCGCCGTCCTCCAATTGACTGTAGACGGGCAGTCCGTTGATCTGCTGAGGTGTCAGCACCAAGCTGCCCGTAATACCGCCGCCTCCTCCGGATTCTGTTGCCTCTGTTGTGTCTGCTACGGTTGCTGCTGTTGCTGCTGTTGTTGCTGCTGCTGTTGCTGCTGCTGTTGCTGCTGCTGTTGCTGTTGCTGTTGCTGCTGCTGTTGCTGCAACTACTGCCTCCTGATTCATTATGTTGCTCTTCTTCGATGTCCTTGTCATGGTTGCTGCTGCTACTGCTACTATTGATGCTTCTGTTCCTGTAGTGATCTCTCCTGCCATTGCTGTTGCTTCAGTTCCTTGCCGAGTCTGAGTTTGAGTCTGAGTCTTATTCTTTTTCTTGCTGCTATTGCTGGTGCTAATTGGTTGACTGTTCGCGGGTATGTTATGGTGAGGGACTTGGGTTCCGGGTGCTATTAGTGACTGTGATGATTGTGGTGCTATAAGTGCTGTTTCTAGTGGTGGTTCCGTTTCAGTTTCAGCCAAAAGCGACGATCCCAATGTATTCTCTGACCACTGTTGATGTTGCTGATGGAACTGCTGATGCTGCTGCTGATGCTGATGCTGATGATGATGCTGCTGCTGCTGCTCCAATCACGTGCTCAGCCAGGTGGAGTTGCACGTGCAGATGGTGCTGGGGATCACAGGTGCATAGTAGACGCCATTGGCATAGATGAGTCCCGGCGGACCGGCCTGTATTTGTATGGTCTGTGGAGCGGCTGTCGCCGTCTGATCCGTGCTGCTCGTGCAACAGACGGCAGCGGGAGCGGCCTGCTGCACGTAGATCGTCTGTGGCGCCTGGCCGGTTGGCGGTGCCTGTGAGACCAAAGTCAATGTGGTGGCTTGCTGCGGCTGCTGTTGCGTCTGTGCCTGCTGCAGCTGCTGCGCTGTGTCCAGGAACTGATGCTGCTGACGTTGCTGTTGCTGCTGCTGCTGCTGGTGTTGCTGCTGCTGCTGCTGCTGTTGATGTTGCTGATGCTGGTGTTGCTGGTGCTGTTGCTGTTGCTGTTGTTGGTACTGTTCTTGGTGTTGCTTCTCCTGTTTGTTGAAGAGCACCTGGGCGGCCAGCGACTGAATGAGATGGAGCGTCTGTCGTCGCTCGTGCCCCATCAGGCAGACAGTCGACATTTCGACCACTTCGCGTAAATGCATCAGGTACTGATACTGCAGCGGTTCCTCATCGACGCCCCAGAAATGGTTACGCAAGTAGGCCTCCAACTTGGTCGTCTGCGTATTGATGTCCGGGAAGTCGATGAAGAAGCGCGAGCACATATATCGCTCAAGGGTCTTGATGAGCTGCGAGTCGACGGCCTTGTAGTTGCGCACCAATAGATTGCAGTACTTGAGCAGGCCGCCGCCTCGTATCTCCTCCGGTTGACGCGTTGAGATCAGTTTCTTTTGCAAATGGTAGAGGGCCTCCTGGAAGTCTCCATACACCGACTCGCCGACCACCGTCGGATAGAAGTTCTCCGAGATGGGCAGAGCGGCGCAGTCGTAGAAGAGTAGCAACGAATCGAGTACTATTTGGAACGAGTCCACGGAGAACTCAAACTGTCGCCGCATGGTATCGACGAACTTCAGCTCGACATTCTTGTGTCCTGGCGAATTGCCCAGCGAGATGAGCGACCAGCGGTCACCGTCATTGTTATTATTCACCTTCACCATCTTGCCGACATAGGCCTCCTTCAGGGAGCACGTGTAGATGCGTCGCTTGCAGACGCCCTCCGGCATTAGGTCGAGCAATGTGTTGAGCACGGCCACCTTGACGCGGTCAAAGACGCGCGGCGAACTCAGCTCGATGGCGAATATCAGATCCAGGTCATTGTACGGCTGATCCTCGCTGGCTAAAACATGACTAGCTGCCCCGCCATTGAGACGGATGTCCTTAACTAACACCCCGGCGCCGCCGGCATTCACCTCTGCCTCCAGCTTGCGGCGCACCAGATTGACCAGGTCCTTCAGCGTCACCTCCAGTGTGGGAAAGTTACCGCGTCCATGTATGGCCACCTTCTCGTCCATCACGTTGTGCAGCTTGCTCACCTGCTCGAACGAGAGCACGGCCAGCCGCTGTGTCCCACCGGTATCGACGCTCTCCAGGGATCCATGGTCCGATGTTGAGGCAATCGATGAGCCCGAGCTGGGCGATGGCGGTGGTGTCTCGGTGCCACCGTCCGAGTGGAAACCATCATCGATCTGATAAACGTCCATTCTGTTGCTGCGCTGCTGATGATATAACGGTTCGGCTCCGTCTAGTGTCCCGCACTGTAATGATAAGGGAACAAAGAGAAGATTAGTTGGATTTACTTGGCATTCTAATTCTAGTACCTATTATCAATCTGTTTTTATTTTTTGAATCTATTGTATATCTATTATATCTTATACTGATTCTGGCTGGTTAGAATACCATCGTTCTTGTTATTGTAACTAAAGCGGTTGGCTCGTCTTTTACGGTTTTGTTGGAAAAAACCGAATTTTTTATTAGGAATTTTGGGTGGAAGTGGAAATGTCGAGGTCAAACGAATGAAGTCTGGTTAAAAAGCAAGTGATTATTATTCAATAGCCTCGCTTGATGGCTTGTGAAATGTTTAAAAAATTATTTTGGGGGGAATATGTAAAAATAATTGAGTAAAGGGAACATTGAATACTAGTTGAAAATAATCTTTTCATTTTTCAACTCTCATTAAGCACTTTTTTAGCCTTTTCTTTTAATTTCCTGTAAACTCTAATGCCAAATTTGTTGATTATTTTGTTTTTCAGACCGTGTACGTGTTTGTCTTCCCTTCTATTTCCAAATTTATCAACCTGCCGCACTTTGTTTGTTTGTTTTTTGATTCTATTTGTTATTATGTTTTTGCTCTTTGTTGTCGTTTCATCATCATCATCATGATATTGTCACTGTTATTTATTTATTTATTTTTGCCATTTTATCTAGCCAATGCCAAATGCCGCCCGGGGGCTTCTTTTAATTAATTAATTTGCTTTAAATTCGCTAAATTTGTTCCTCGGTGTGTGAGTGCGGCCTACGCGCTAAACATTAAATTCTGTGCTATTTATTGCTTATTTTATTTCACTTTTTTCTAGTGTGTCTGTGTTGGTAGTTTTATTTGATTGCTTCTGCCTGTTTTGTTCCCACCAACAAGCCAAAAGATCGACGGCAATAACAACATCGACATTGGTTTTTGGCATCGCAACCCAAAATTGTGGATCGTATCGTATCGTATTGGTTCGAAAAATGCTCCCGAGACAAAAGTTCCGCGTTGTTATCGACCAGGCGACGTTTCTCTGATACTGATTCTGATTCTATTCTGTTTTCTATGCCTTTTCTATTACTTTTTCTATTTGTTTTATTTTTCTGTTTCTGTTTCCAAAAACAATCCCTACCATTCCTAGTCTCGTTTCCCTATTCCCATCCCCCCCAAAGTATTTTTTTGCCTTCCGTTTATACATACATGGCCCATTATATCGTTTAGCTCTATCTCTTGTATAAGTTTTATCTGTGGTGTGTATATGTATGAGTTTTGGGCTCTCGTTTTTTTCATTTTTCTTTCTTTTTTTTATCATTTTCACTCACAAAACAAAAACAAAAAAATAGAGAAAGAAAGAATTTAATTTTGTGGCATAACTGGCTGGCAACCACAAAATATATATGTACATATATACATAATATAGTTATAGTTAGTGGGGTTAGATGGCTAAACGAGTTAAGGAAGCTATTTCACCGATTGCCATAATACAATTCAAATTCACAAAATGGGACTCTTCGGATCGCATGATTCACAGTGCAGTTCAAAACAACTTAGTTAACCCCGAGAATATGCCGCGCGTACCGATTTCGGACGACCTGCCGATTTGCACAATATATACATATATATATAGTATAGTCTCGTCACCCAGTCGCATGCAAATCCAAACTAAAATACAACAAAACAATACATTCACACGGCGTAAAAAAATAAAGAAATATATATGTACATATAAACTGAGATCAGAGCAGTGCTGTCTCGTTGGCTACAAATGTTTGATCTAAGTCAGACAGGGGCACTTGGAGGTTCTTCCAGCTCCCAGATTATTCCCATGATCTTAAAAATCGATCTTTTGCTATGAATCTTGTACTAAATACGAGAATATATCCGGGATATTTGCAAACTTCCAACTTTAGGTTATCTACTTTCTATTATTCAGCAAATATTGCGCTTGAAGCTGATGCAATAATTGCTTATCGCCTTTTTTATTGCCCAATGATAATGATTATATGAATGTGCCGGAGTAGAGACCCAGACTATATTTGGAAAGTTTCAATACTTTGTTTAGTCTAAAAGGTCAAAATTAATTGATAACCAACTATTTGAATATTTTCAAAGTTGATTACAGTATTTTGAAATGTTTTAAGTTAAAACTTATATAATTTCCTCCAATTAGTTTGGTTCCGCATTTTACAACCGGTTACCAACTTATTTAAAATTAAAATTAAAATTGTTTCTAGACTTTTCCTTTATCCTAATATATGTATATTATTTATTATTCTCCCTGCTTATATTCCGACAACACTGTCTGCTTTTTAAACTCACGAGGGCGAGTGCATTAATTTGTGGTCGCTTTTCGTGTGAATTGGGTAATATAACTAAAATTTGTTTTGGTCCCCCCTGATGTCGCTGATATTTAGTGTATGAATCTTTGAGTCTTGGGAAATGAGAGCCGAGTGAACTGCCGCGTGGCTGGGTTCACACTTCTGAATGGGGTTTGGGTATATACACGGGCAACATATTGTTATTCACTCAGTTCCAGTTAAAAGTCTGGCTTCTTTGCTGTTTTTTTTTTTTTTTTTTTTTTTTTTTCTGCCAGACAATTAGTTGTTTATTAATTGCTATTGACGTCTCCGCCGCACACAGCACAAATTGCCGCTGTCATGTATTTATTGTAATTGTTTAAACTGCATTTTCATGAGGCAATCGCCAATCGAAATTGTGAAGAATTTGCCCTTGAAGATATGCAGCCAGGAACTCCCCTGGTCAGCATTAGTTTCCTTAGTTTCTCCCTTTCGAAATATAATTAACACCGCTGCGCTAGTTAATAACTTGAACAAAGTGTGAAATCAAATCGAATTTTATAATTTTTCTGTTAATTACTTTCTATAGTTTCGATTGAGTGTTTTTTTGCTGTGCACTAAAAGCAATATTTGGGTTTTGTTAGTTGAAAATCAACCGGATATTTACATAAGAATCCAATTTTAAATATAACAAATAATGAAATCAAATATTATTTCAGTTTAAATGTAGTACTTTCACTTGTTTATTATTATAGAAATTATTTCGTAACCGAATCTTTTTAGATCTTTTTAATTATCAAATATTTTGAAAGCTTTGCTGAATCAATATTTGATTAAATAGCCGTCAAGAAATTTAGTTTTTGCATCGTTAGACTTTAATTTCACCAATTTAAGAAATGTTTATTACTTAAGTAATTTATTTCACAAAAGGGGATTTTAAAAATGTCATAATATAAAATAATATAAAATACAGCAGCCTATTAATTATATTTTTAAGTCGTTTCTAAATAATACATTATGGAATTTCGGAAATGTTTATATATTAGTATCTGTTATTTTTAACTCATAGATTTCTGAATTAAAGAATTGATTTCTTTGTAAAAATGGGATCCTTCAACTCCATTCCCTTTTCCCCAAAACTAAACACTTTAATTTCACAATTATGGTAACACGCACACACTCTTAGGTAAATACAACCGCAAATTAACGCTGTAATTTTCACCAATTTCTGTGGCTAAATTCGTAAACTTCAAAACGCTGTAGTTGTTGTTGTAGTTTTGTAAATGCACTATACATCATTATCATTAAGTTTATCATTATCATAACGGTGTTTTAGTGGCAGTGTGCAGCTGCTGCCTCACGTCAACATGCAAACAGGTGCAAGCTCTACCGTACGTGAGTGCTGTGCGTGCTCTGTGTGCATGTATTGGTGTTGGCCTAGACTGGTCTCAAATAAAAGTGAAAATCGTTGTTGTTGTCTTTCTCTCTCTTTCCATCTACTCTTTCGCCGCTGAAGAAAGCAGCAAACAACAATGGCAGAAAGTCTCTTACACGAAAATTCAAAGCCTACACACACAATCGCACACTTAAATATACGAAGAAACAAGTGTAAAAAGGCTTAGTTTTGTATTTTTTTTTTTTTAACGTACCGAGTGCAAAGTAAGTAAGGCAAAAAACAAATATGGATTCCGTGTGGATTTTGTTTTAGCACCGCATCACCATCGAACGAGAAGCAGCGGCAGAGCAGGAGGACTAGGAAAAGAAGGCGATGGGCGGCAGCGGCGGGTGCCCAATTGGCGCCTACTAAACGCGACTAAGCGACTCCCGATTTTCTTTCCCCCGTTCCGATTTCAATTTAATTCGCGCTTCTGGTTGTTAATTTCTTGGGCAAATCTCAAGCACAAACACACACTTATCCTCTTGCACTTTTGAACTTTTTTTTGTTGTACACAAATTGATATATTTTAGTCGGATTTTGTACTTTATATTTCGACTATTAATTTTTCTATTTCTTTATTTCTTTGGCCGCCGTCGACCGTTAAGTTGCGCGTTCGAAAACCATTTGACGTTGACGTCGCCGACTGGCTGTGCTTGCTAGCTCCCACTTTGGGGAGCTGCCTCTGCCTCGGTCGGCGTCGCTGTCGCGCTTAGAATATTGGCGAGCCAGAGAGAGAGAGCGCCACAATAAAAGCTCGCCCGCTGACGTCACAAGGCTTGAGTGGAATTGGAATGCTGTTTGAGTGAGTTTGTAGCTGCTTGGGCTTTTTTAGAAGGGCACACACACATACATACGCACACCACTGTGGGTTAGTCGGTCGATCTCTCTCTCTCTCTCTCTCTCTCTCTGTATGTCTGTCTCTGTATCTCTCTGCAATATGCGGGTGCTGCTCGCTCAGCTGATAAAGCGATCAAGAAGAAGCAGCAGCACTATGCCTAGGTGCGCAAGTTTGTATATTGGCAGGTGTGTGAGTGTGTGTGTGTGAGTGTGTTTGCGTGTGAGCCGCTTTTATGCCATTTTTGTAATGCATTTTTGCAGGCCGTCAGTTTTCGATTTCATTATTTTGTATGCAGCAAGCAGCACTTCACTTGTTGCTGTTGCTTTTTAAGTATGCACCGAGAGAAAATAAAAAGCTCAATAGGTTTAGCATTTACAATTATGAAATAATTATTTTGGTAATAAATATATGTTTTTGGTTAATAAATATACCCTATTGGG